CTCGAAGCTAGATTGTCTCTATGTCTGTCCTTTTCAATTTGCTCTGTCAGGCTTCTTCGATGGCTGCACTTCCTGTTCTCAGGCACAGTTGGATAGAGTCCAATCTCCGACTTGATTAATCTTCTCTGCTATCCCCAGCAAACGAAACAAAGACGAGTTCTTCTGGATTCTTTAGGTTTCCTTGCTCCCTATGCCCACCGATCCTCCTTTTGCGCAGGCGATTTAGCGTCCTCGATTTCTTACTCTCAGCGCCAGCTTGTCGAGCTCTGTAGTTTTTCAGGCTGTTCACCAAACTCCGTCGCCGCCTTTTCCCACTCGAGCCCTTCTCGCCCAACTCCGCCGACCCCTTCCTGATGTTCGGTCTCACGTATGCAGGGAGGACACGTTTTAATCCCGACACTGCAGCCTCCGATCTTTCTTGCTTCCCATCTAGTTGTCGGCTACCACAGCTTCAAGTCAGCCTTTCAATGGCTGACTTCACGCGCGTCAGTTTGACAGAGTTGCCCGGTTATGCGAGAAGTGTTTGCGCTTCACTTTCTCGCTCCCCCGGCTCTCTCTATTGTCCGCGGGGCTCTCCAGGTCCCGCGCCCCCGAAGGGATCCCCAAAACGCGGTGACAAAGGATGCTGAGGAGTGGAGATCACTCGCTCAGCACCATGTCGCTGCAGCTCGCCGACCGGAAGTCAGGACAACTTAATTCTCATAAAAGAATCCACACGGGAGAAACCATATGAATGCCTGGAATGTGGAAAGAGCTTTGTTCAGAAAGGACAACTTAATTATCATAAAAGAATCCACACGGGAGAAATCATATAAATGCACAGAGTGTGGAAAGAGCTTTTGTTTCAAAAGTTCTCTTAATTGCCATGAGAGGATCCACACAGGAGAGAAACAACATTGCTGTGGGAAGTGTGGAAAGAGATTCATTGAGAAGGGAGCCCTTACTATCCATCAGAGGATCCACATCATACAAATGCCTGGAGTGTAGAAACGGATACTAAGAAAGGACAACTTAATTCTCATAAAAGAATCCATACTATGGAGACACTATACATGATAGGCTTCGACTTACAACCATTCATTTAGTGACTGTTCAAAGTTGCAATGAAAAAAATGAAAATATTGTAAAATGAAAAAAGTTACTTAGATCCGTTTATAAACTTTGCCGCATCCCCATGATCACATGATCAAAATTTAGGCACTTGGCAACTGGCATGCATTCATGATGGATCCCAGTGTTAATGTGACCTCCATTTCTAAATTTCCAAGTAACACAGTCAATGACACAAAGCAGATTCGCTTAACAACTATACGTTCACTTAAGAACTGCATTGATTTGCTTAACAACTGCAATATAAAAAATTGTAAACTAAGGTGCAACTCAGTTAACTATCTTAGCAAGGGAAATGCTGGGCTGAATTGTGGTTCTAAGTTGAGAACTATTTGTACTACTGTCTTTCCTTTTGAAATATGAAAAGACATTCCATTAACTGATTTTGTTGGTGGAGAGGTAAGTTATTCTTCATCAGCAAATTTTATTCTTTGTGATAGTGGCAAATTTTATTCTTTTCCTGATATGTCAAGCCCATGCATCTCGGTGTTTAGCCACTTAAAAAGCAGAACTTCTAGCTATTGCAAGTCTGACTTTCAACCAGAGTAAGAAAAGTCTTCATTTTTGGTGCTATATGTACTAATTGGTGAGTAAATTGCATTATTGCATTTGATTTTATTATGCAGCAATATTATAATGCCCTAATCTATTTTCAAGCATGTTAATTGCTCAAACAGGCAAGGGGTGTTTCTCCTAAGGACTAAGTTTCTCCTAGAACTAAGGAGAAATTTCCTGACAGAACAATTAATAAATGGAACAACTTGCCTGCAGAAGTTGTGAATGCTCCAACACTGGAAATTTTTAAGAAGATGTTGGATAACCGTTTGTGTGAAGTGGTGTAGGGTTTCCTGCCTGGGCAGGGGGTTGGACTAGAAGATCTCCAAGCTCCCTTCCAACTCTTCTCTTCTCTTCTCTTCTCTTCTCTTCTATTCTATTCTATTCTATTCTATTCTATTCCTATACTTGTTTTAATCCCGATAATTATGAAGTATCTGCAAATGTTAAACTGCAAATTTACATATGGCGAATACCCAAACATAATGGCACTCATACTTTAAAGAATGTTGCCTGGGGCTTGACATATAACACTATATACAGATTAGCTGGTAAGTTGCATTGGAGTTGTGGCATTCATAGTTTTAAATCTATACCAAATTCCAGGCAAGGAATTTGTACTGTGGACAGCAGGGATTCCTCTGGTCTCAGCACAAGAAATTAAACTACCAAAGGAAATGGTCTTTTAGACATAAAACACAGCGGGTAGTTGGTTGTGACATGCAGTTACACAGAATAAATGATAACCAATAAAGACATTCAAATTTTGGCTGCATTTGTTGTAAATCTAAGTTTTAAAGTCTTTATTAATGACACCTCAAAGACCCATAAGCTGCTTTGGATAAAATCTTTTCTCTGATCGATATAATATAGCAAAAGAGGATGTCATTAGATCAATTATTAGAGGAGTATATATATATATATACATACATATATATAGGCTGCATATAGATTAATAAAAACTATGGATGTTTCATAAAGGCTTAGTTTCACAACAGAAGTTAGCTAGAATTAGGGATGGAATATTTTCAAGAAACACTATTTGCCATTATCCCTTGTACTTTGAGGTTGTTTTATGCAATGCATTCCTTTATGTTAGTCTCCCACTCAGTGCTGCTCATATTCTTTTAATATCTGCTCAACAACACAAAAAAAAATACAACTCTGGGTCTGATGGGAGAGTCACGTCAGACTCTCACCTGAGGTGACCCTCCCATAACAAGACCTACTGACCACACGAAGCCTTTATAATCAGAACACCAACACTGACATTCCACAAATTCTGCTGAAGATTTTACTTAGCCTGGTAGCAAAATGTTCAGAAACCAACCCACAAGTTCTGAAAACAAATCCCCACTCTCAAATATTACTGTACTTATGACTGCTGTAGAAAATATTGAAAGCTACTACCATGTTTCCCTGAAAATAAGACCCTATCTTATATTTTTTTTGAACCCCGAAATAAGCGCTTGGCCTTATTTTCAAGGAGGTCTTATTATTTTGGGGCGCGTGGAGCAAGATGGAGCTCCTCTTGCAGTCTTACCTGATTTCCAGCTCTGCATTTAAATATTTTTGGGGAGGGCTTATTTTTTTGGGGGGGGGAGGCTTAGTTTAGCCCATGCACTCAAAAGCCCGATTGAGCTTATTATCAGGGGATGTCTTATTTTCAGGGAAATGTTATATATGTTTATATTTTCCAGTTGTATTTTCTTCTTGCACGCTTAGTTTTTTCTGTTACTCTTATTGTACCTTTTTCTCTGTCGCAATTTATTGAAATAACGAAGTGAACAGTTTGATAAGCAAATCACACCCATTTATTACAGAGAACATGAGAAATAAAGAACTGGCATTACTTTCATATCCAAGAAAGTATATTATCTCCTACCTCTTGCTTACCTTCTCAGCTAAGAAGTGCTACAATGTTCCTTCCACCTTCCAAGGTCCCCTGCCTATTAGTGTGTATATGGTGAGGCTGCTTCCCTGGCTGAGGTTTAGACAAGCAGTTCTTGCTATTTAATTTCCTTTGTGGTGCACCTCTGTGCTTCCTTAAGCATCAACAGCAAACTCACTAGTCCGCCTTGACCTTAGCTTCATAGCCAACTACTTATGCCTCCCTTCCAGGTTAACAAGGCTACCAGGCTGTACCAATATGAGATTTTTGTGTGCTGCCTACCGTCTCCCTCTCTGGCCCTTCTTTCTTTTTCTCTTAAAATTTAGCTAAGACAAAACAGAAATGGAGAACCAAACCAAATAAAGGGCACACTCGGCTCTAGAAAAAAGATACCTTCCCCATGGGATACAACAGAATTGAGAGGACAGGGAGGACAAAGTTGCCTGAAGGAGGAATAATAATAACCTTTATTGTCATTGTACATCATGTATACAACAATTGGTTTAGCCTCTACTGGTGCAATCTGTAACAAAAATGCAATCTCCAAAGTGTTTATTTGCTTACTTATTTCATAAGTAACGTATCTTTTCTTTTATGTACACTGAGAGCATATGCACCAAGACAAATTCCTTTTGTGTCCAATCACACTTGGCCAATAAAAAATTCTAATTCTAATTCTAATAAATAATCTACTGCAGTGGTGAAATCCAATTTTTTTTACTACCGGTTCTGTGGGTGTGGCTTGGTGGGCGTGGCAGGGAAAAGATACCGCAAAATCCCCATTCCCATCCCACTCTCGGGCCAGCTAGAGGCGGTATTTGCTGGTTCTACAAACTACTCAAAATTTCCGCTACCGGTTCTCCAAATTGCTCAAAATTTCTGCTACCGGTTCTCTAGAACCTGCTGGATTTCACCCCTGATCTACTGCCTGGATTCTGTCCTGGGGTTCTTACCTCCATCTCTTTCATTTCCAGAGGTCCATCAAGTTTTCCTCCCCCACTTTAACCCAGTGGTGAAATCCATTTTTTTTTTTTTTACTATCGGTTCTGTGGGTGTAGCAGGGGAAGGATACTGCAAAATCTCCATTCCCACCCCACTCGGGCCAGCCAGAGGCGGTATTTGCCGGTTCTACGAACTACTCAAAATTTCCACTACCGGTTCGCAGAACCTGCTGGATTTCACCCCTGCTTTAACCCCATGTCCCAGGAGAACATTCACATTTCCGAGAGTTTCTGGAAAAGAGACATCCCCACGACATAGGAGGAGGAAAACACTTTTTATCCCAAGGTACCCTTGAAATAAACCTTTGTTTATTTGAGCCCCCCTTTCCCCCCGGTACCCATCATCCTCAACCTCCTCGCCCTTTTCACCATCGCGCCCCTTCTTCATCCCCCTAAGGGCAACCACTCCGCCGGCGCAGGCGTTCGAACGGTCTTCGACGTCACAACGGAACAGAGCGTGCGCAGAAGACTCTTGAAAGCATTACCTGCGGTACAGTTAGCCAAGGCCTTCGCTTGCGCTGTGGGCGGGGGAGAGCCCGCTCATCCAGCGGAGGAAACAACGGTCGCCTGTAGACTTTTCCCACTCTAGGAAGGAGAACTCTACCTCTGGGAGGTCCAGCCTCTAGGAGGCCAGGACGGCGCGTGAAATTTTGGCGGGAAGGATTTTCAGTTGCTCTTGCTGGGGCGCAAAAGCCCTGAGGGAGCGGAGACTCCCCTTCTCTCCCACCTCCGGGAAACCGGGAAAGGGGCGGGGGAAGTGGGTGGGGAGGGTCCGCCGTGACCGAAGGCGGAGACCTCGGAGGGAGTTTCCCCCGTAGGGGCTGAGCTGAACCGAATGGAGGCTCGGGGGTCTCCCCTTCAGGCGGGGAGCGGCGGCTCGAGCGGCCTCCGCGAGGGTCCCCGCAGCCCCGAGGCTGAGCGCTGGCGCTTCCGCAGCTGCGGCTCCCGGGAGGCCGAGGGTCCCCGGGCGCTTTGCAGCCGCCTGCACGGGCTGTGCCGGGAGTGGCTGCGGCCCGAGCGGAGCAGCAAAGCCGAGATGCTGGACCTGGTGGTGCTGGAGCAGCTGCTGGCCCTGCTGCCCCCGGAGCTGGCGGGCTGGCTGAGGGAGTGCGGGGCGGAGAGCTGCGCCCAGGCGGTGGCCCTGGCCGAAGGCTGCCTCCTCGGCCCCGCAGCCGCCCCGGAAAAGCTGGCCAAGGGCCGGCAGGTGAGGGAGTTTCATCCTGGGCGTCCCTTGGGGGTGGGGTTAATAAAACATCTAGCAGTGTCTGTATGAAATCACAAGGCATAAAGAAGACATGGTGCAAGATTTTCTGAAGCTCCTAATACTTTTTTTCTCGATGCAAATGCTTATTTTTCCTTTTGGAGTTAATTCCCTAGAATGAAAGAGACATTCAACCCCTTCTCCACCCTGCCCTTCTTTCCCTTAATGCATGAATGAACTGAATCATTTGTTCCATATCAGCTGACATTCTTCAGACTATTCATTCTCCTTTATGATATAGAAAATCTTATCATAAACCATCTTGATGTTCATTCCAAGGTCTGTCCCTGAATTACGTTGCAGGGTCTCCCTAAAGAGCTAAATATTACTAAATATAAAGAAAAAGACTCCTGCTGGAAGAGATAGAAAGGTATAGATACATCCACAAAGGAGGAAAGGCCAAAGCTATCAAGAGAAGGAGACAAGTAAAGAAACAGCTGATCAGAAATGATAAGAGGAAATAAAGATAGGCAATAAAACATTTCACAGAAATGACAGATATTCACTCAAAAGTAGCTTTCAAATCAGAATCCCTGAGTTCTCTCACTTTGACTTAAGTTGGGGAATTGCAAAGGTAAGTTAAGCAAACTAACATGAGTACAGTCCTATGAGCGTGAATCATAAAACCAGGCTTCTCTTTCAGATGCAGGAGCTGTTCACAGGAGAGATCTCAGCAGAGCTCCAGGAAAGAGGAAATCGATGTAATCCTTTTCAAGGGCTGCCTTTTAGGAGGTCCCAACTTGGGCCATTTCAGCAGGTAACTGTAGATTTCTTCTGACAGCAGCAGAGTTCAAGCTCCCTTCCTGAGGTCTTCTGCAGTATAGCCAAATGCTGAGTCTATGTATAATTGAACAGTGTCTCCCCCCCCCAGCCTTATTCATCAACTCAAGATCATTTTGGAGAAAACAAATGAGACAACTTAGAGCCTGAGAGGCTTGTGTTAGGCAATGTATTTGTTCAATATTTTGTAATACTTCACAGAAGAGTGGAGAAACCAGTTAAAAAACCCCAGTGAATTAAAAATATTGTAATAGCATAACTGCTTCAGAAATATTGTATCTTAAGGACAGATTTCCCATGAAAAAGCCCTAAGGTCAACACTAAATGGCTGCATCAGTAAGACTGGTCTTCAAGTGCCTTTAGATTTCCAGGCCCTTTTGAAATAGGCCATGGAAGAAATTCCCAGTCGCTGTGTCCTGTTTTATAAAGAATGTAGAATTTCCTCCCCAAGTCAGGTGAGCCTCTGGATTCTAGTCCCCAAACCCCACTTGCTGAGTAATTCCAAACCAGCAGGAAGCAACCCAAAGGGTGCTGTTTTGCCATTCTGCAATTTGGATGCAATCATGTTTCATGAACTTCAGAACACCATCTATTAGGGCAAGGGAGACTGGCGGCTTCACGGTCACAAATCCCACAGTCACATGTGGACATCCAGAGGTACATTTGTCCTACAAGCAAATGCCTATTTGGTTTCTTGTAAACGTCTGTTTTGTGTAATAAGAGGGAAAATGTCTTTTCTGGGACTGTCTCCTATACAACATTCTCATTCTAGGGCTCTGATCCCTTTGAGGAGGTCACTGTGGACTTCACAGAAGAGGAGTGGGCACTGCTGGATTCTGGCCAGAGAGCCTTGTGTGCAGAAGTCACATTGGAGGCTTTTAGGAATATTATTGCCCTAGGTAAGTCCCCCCTTTTTCTGGGTTCCATTCATTAGGGAAGGTAGGTTTTTTCCAGTGGGGGATAAACAAAAAAGATACTTGCAGTCAAGTTGCTTAAGGTGATACATCTTAAGCAGGGGTGAAGTGTTCTGGGTTCGGACCGGATCAGTCGATCCGGTAGCAATGGCGGGTAGTGGTTCGGAGAACTGGTAGCAAAAATCCCTGAGCCCCCTGCCCATGCCCACCCAATCGCTTGGTCACCTGCTTGCCGCTGCCGCTTCTTTCAAAAAATGCTTTTAAAAGGTAAAAAAAAGGCTCAGACGATCCTCTGAGCCACGTGATCGTCTTTAAAATTCTTTTAAAAGTAAAAAAAAAAAAAGATTGCGTGCCACAGCTGATCACTCCTCCCCCCCACTGTTCCACTTACCCCATGCTTCCTTTTGGCGTGTACTGTACACAACTGTGTGCACACCTCACATGCGCGCACCCAGCATGCGTGTGCACCCAGCAAACCAGTAATAAACCGGTTCAGATTTCACCACTGATCTTAAGGCCTTGTTAGAAAAGCTTACTGTAGTTTTGGGAAACATCTCAAATTGTCCAGTCAACAGCAAAGTCTTAATGTGGTTCCCAGCTGAAAAATCCTTTGGATATCATCAGAATTTCCTAGCCTACAATTTGCATCCAAGACCCCCAAGTTGAATTCATAGCTGATGCTATACCTGGAATACAGATGGAGTATGTTTTTCCGAGAAGACCCCTCCTTAATAGCTGGTTCTTTCACATAATTTTATTAAGGACTATCTTAAATAGATAAAACACATAGATCAATTTAATGCAAAATAAATAAGAAAGAAAAGAGAAAATATTTAGAAAATGCAGAAACACCCCCATACCTAAATTTGTATGTATATGAAAGAAATTTCTCCATCTCCAACAAGTATGTTCAATATTAACAACTTATATATCAAAACTCAACCAAAACATCTTTTCATTCCATGTCACCAATATTCTATGAACTCATCTCTAAATCTTCAGATCTCCTTAATATTCAGCAAAGATCCAGTAAAAATTAACAAAAATACCTAATAACATAAATACTTAATAATATATTCCGCATTTGCACTTAGTCTCCTTTTGCTCATTCCTCTTTTAACAATTAAACTTTGCAAAAAAAGGGATTAAAAACTTACCAAATGTTACCAACTCCTATATAACTACTTCTTCCCAACTATCATTAAATCCCATAATTTTTTTCTATATTCTTTTCACTCCAAATTCTTATCATCCTTCAAGTCCACTTGCAATTTCTCTGAAATAGCTCCAATAAATATCTTACATTTCAATTTAAAACAGTATCAATCACTTGCATTTATAATTCCAGTGAAGCCCTATCAGTTATCTCCAGACAGATTTGTTAGTTTTAGTTATTAACTTCTGATTCTAGTAAAGAGATAAAAGGTTAAAAAAATTCAAAGGTCCATAAAGTAAACATTTGCTTTAAAGTAGCCTTCCTGTGCTCTAGTAATCAACTTCAAGATTTTGCTTTACAATTGATAAGTAAACAAGATAGATTTTCTAGTACAAGATGTTCTTTCTAATTAACACCATAGACTTTAAATCTTTTTCAAAAAGTATTTTAAAGCTTTCCAAAAACAACTATAAAATAATCTCTTGCCTGTATATTTCAACAGATTACAAAAAATAAAGTTTTAAGAAAGATGGGAAACCATGATGTTCTTTCTAAAACGAACTGAAGGGAATGCCACCCACCAACTGAAAAGGTGGCATTTACGGTTCAGCCTGATGGAATCTACAACCTTTAGCTGATTTATTTATTTTATTTTTATTTTTCAAAATTTATATGCTGCCCTTCTCCTGTAGGACTCGGGGCGGCTCACAAGATAAAAACAATACAACAATGCAATACTAAAATTAATCAATTTAAAAATCCCCAAACGATTAAAAAGTCTCGCAACAGATCAGGGAATTTGCTGAAAAAGCTATTTCTTCAGCTCAGCGCGGAAAGTGCGGAGGCCAGGGGCCATCTGGAGCCCGGTGGGTAACCCATTCCAGAGGGTTGGTGCGGCCACAGAGAATGCCCTCATCCTGGGGGTTGCCAGCCGACATTGTCTGGCCGACGGCACTCAGAGGAGGGCAGCCCTATGTGAGCGCACTGGTCGGTGGGAGGCCAGTAGGAGGTGGTCCTGCAAATACCCCGGGCCCATGCCATGAAGAGCTTTATAGGTGAGTACCAGCACCTTGAAGCGGATCCGAAGAGCCACCGGCAGCCAGTGCAGCTCGCACAGGAGAGGTGTTACACGGGAGTAATGGGAAGCTCCCGTAACTACCCACGCGGCCACATTCTGGACTAGCTGGAGCCTCCGGGTGCACCCCAAGGGCAGCCCCATGTAGAGGGCATTGCAGTAATCCAACCGAGAAATAATGAGAGCATGAGTGACTGTACGGAGGTATATATACAGATAACAAGTGTCTGCAGGAATTGACAAGTTTTGCTGTCAGCTTACAAAAATTGGCAGTATAAAGTACAAATGGGCAATCTCCAGTTCAATCTTTCTTCAAGAAAAAATTTCGGCAGTCCAAGCCTGACATCCACCTGCTGGTTTTGGTGAAATCCCCTACAGCAAAATGAGGGTGTTGGTTTTCCTCACCTCAGTTATCTTGCCCTCTCACAGTTTTAAATTCCTATAGAAATTTCTATTTGCTTCTTTCCAAGCAGGTGATACAATGGAGAAGGAGAAGCAGGAGTGGTTAATGTCGCTGCCAGGAGAAGTGACATTTGACCATCAAGCAAATCCAAAAAGACAAGAGAGAAGCCACTCAGAAGGTGGACTTGAAAAGTCCTCCACATCTCATCATTTCTTTTCTCTTACTTTACCTAAGAACCTTTATAGCAAACACAAACCACAAAGTATTGTAAACTTGGGGGAGGATTCCAGTTTGAGTAGAGAAACTAAAATATGCACAAAATGTGGAAAAAGCTTTGGTAGTAATGCTAGCCTTAATGGCCATCAAAGGATCCACATAACTGAGAAACCATATAGTTGCGAGGAATGTGGAAAGGGCTTTGCTTTAATAGGAAAACTTAATTCTCATAAAAGGATGCACACAGAAGAGAAACTATATAAATGCACAGAGTGTGGAAAGAGCTTCTGTAGCAATGCTAGCCTTAATGGCCATCAAAGGATCCACATAACTGAGAAATCATATAGCTGTGTGGAATGTGGAAAGGACTTTGCTTTAATAGGAAAACTTAATGCTCATGAAAGGATTCACACAGGAGAGAAACCATATAAATGTACAGAGTGTGGAAAGAGCTTCCATTTCAGGCCTAGTCTTACCCGTCATGAGAGGATCCACAGAAGGGAGAAAAAATATAGGTGCAACAAGTGTGGAAAGAGATTCTTTGAGAACAGAGCCCTTATCATCCATCAAAGGATCCACACAGGGGAGAGACCGTATAAATGCCTGGAGTGTGGAAAGAGGTTTTTTGACAACAAAGTTCTTACTCGTCATCAAAGGATCCACACAGGGGATAAACCCTATCAGTGCCTGGTGTGTGGAAAGAGCTTTAGTCAGATAGGACATCTCAATTCTCACAAAAGAGTCCACACAGGGGAGAGGCCCTACAAATGTATGCAGTGTGCAAAGAGCTTCCGTTCCAAAAGTTCTCTTAATCGCCATGAGAGGATCCACACAGGGGAGAAAAAGTATAGCTGCAGAATTTGTGCAAGGAGATTCTTTGAGAAACGAACCCTTGCTATCCATGAAAGGATCCACACAGGGGAGAAACCATATCAATGCCCAGAGTGTGGAAAGAGCTTTATTGAGAAAGGAAAACTTAATTTTCATACAAAAGTCCACACAGGGGAGCTGTATAACTGCATTGAGTATGAAAAGCAGAAAGAAAATCTTACTCATGAAAGAATCCACAAAGGAGAGAAACCATATAAATGCACAGAATGTGGAAAGAGCTTCTTTAGTAAGACTGGTCTTAATGGCCATCAAAGGGTCCACATAGCTGAGAAGCCATATAGTTGTATGGAATGTGGAAAAGACTTTGCTTTAATGGGAAAACTTAATTCTCATGAAAGAATTCACACAGGGGAGAAACCATATAAATGCACAATATGTGGAAAAAGCTTCCATTTTAGGGGTAGTCTTAATCGTCATGACAGGATCCACAGAGGAGAGAAAAAACTTAGTTGCCAGGAATGTGGAAAGAGATACTTTGAGAAGGCAGCCCTTACTATCCATCAAAGGATCCACACAGGAGAGAGACCATATCAATGCCCAGAGTGTGGAAAGAGCTTTTTTGACAACAAAGTTCTTACTCGTCACCAAAGGATCCACACAGGGGAGAGACCATATCAATGCCCAGAGTGTGGAAAGAGCTTTACTCAGAAAGCACATCTTAATTCCCATAAAATAACTCACACAGGGGAGAGGCCCTATACATGCACAGAATGTGGAAAGAACTTCAGTTTCAAAAGTTCTCTTAATCGCCATGAGAGGATCCACACAGGAGAAAAAGCATACCCGAAGGGAGTGTGGAAAGAGATTGAGAACAGAGCCCTTACTATCCATCAAAGGATCCACATGGCATAAACTGGCATAAATGCCTGGAGTGTGGAAATAGGTTTAGTCAGAAAGGCCAACTTATTTCTCATAAAAGAATCCATGTTATGGAGAGACCATATACAGCTAGTCCTCAACTTACAACTGTTCATTTAATGACCATTCAAAGTTACACTGAAAAAATGAAATAAAAGGGACACACTTATGACAAATTGCAAAATCTCCATGATCATATGATCAAAATTCAGACGCATGGCAACTGTTTCATATTTGACTGTTGTTGTGTCCCAAGGTCATGTGTTCACCTTTTGCAACCTTCTGACAAAGTCAATGGGGAAGCCAGATTCAGTTAACCACCAGCTTACTAACTTGCTAACTGTATTGATTCACTTAACGGTGGCAAGAAAGGTAAAATAGGGCAAAACTCACTTAACAAATATCTCATTTAACAGATTTTGGACTCCATTGTCATAAGTCGAGTATCTTCATTTATGATTCTTGCGGCATCCAGGGTCATGTGATTTCCATTTGGAAATTTACAACAAGCACAGTCAATGTGGGAAGGTAGTTTCACTTAACAACCATACTTGAGAACTACAGTGATTTGATGAACGATTGTGGCATAAAAGGTTGCAAACTGCATCACGAGTGACTTAATTGCCTTACTTAGCAATGGAAATGGGCTCAATTGTGGGTGTAGGTTGAGAACTACCTGTATTACTATCCTTACTTTGAAATATCAAAAAACCTGATTTCATTAATTGATCTTCTTGGTGGAGGGTAGTATTTGTATCCCATGAGCAAATTAGGTTCCTCCTGAAATCTGAAGCCTTTAAAACTCAGTGTTTAGCCACTTATAAACCACAGCTTCTAGCTACTCTAAATGTGATTTTGAACCATAATAAAGAATTACCTTTTTTCTGTGCTCTGTATGGATTGGTGAGTAAATCACATTATAGCTTTTGATTTCATTATGGAGGAATGTTCCAATGCTCCACTCTATTTTCTGATTGCTCAAAAATGCAAGTGGTGTTTCTTCTAAACTTCTTTTAATCCAGAGAATTACAAAGTAATTGGAGATGTTAAAATGCAAACCTGCATTGGGCAAATAGCCAAACAGGACTGGCACACTCATACTTTAAAGAATGTTGCCTGGGCCTTGACATATAACACTGTATGCAGCAGTTTAGCTAATAAGAGTATATTGGATTGGTGGCATTCATAGTTTTAAATCTTTCCAAACTCCTGATAAGGAATTGTTACTATTTCTTAGTTGCAGGCAACAGAGATTCATTTGGCCTCAGCTCTAGAAATGAAATAACCTAATCCAATGGTTTTATTGATATAACTAAAAAACAAGGAGGGCAGGGGTTTTTTGGCATGCAGTTACATAGAGTATAACAATAAATACATCCAAATTTTGGCTGCATTTGTTGTAAATCTAAGTTTTAAAGTCTTTGTTAATGACACCCAAAGAGCCATAAACTGCTTTGGATGAAATTTCAAAGTTATAGTAAAAAAATGAAATAAAATGAAAAAAGTGATTTAGATCAATTTTCATGCTTAATGACCATTGCAACATCCCCATGATCACGTGATCAAAATTCAGGCACTTGGCAACTGGCATGTATTTATGATGGTTGCAGCATCCAGGGTCATGTGATCTCCATTTGTAAACTTCCACCAACCAGTTAATGGCAAAGGCAGATTCACTGAACAACCATACATATGGTTGTTAACTGAACAACCATACTTGAGAACCATAGTGATTTGGTGAATGATTGTTGCATAAAAGGTTCCAAACTGGGGCATTAATTAGCTGTCTTACTTAGCAACAGAAATTTGGGCTCAATTGTGGATGTCAGTTGAAAACTATCTGTCCTTCCCTTTGAAATACCAAGAGTTGACTCCATTAACTGATTTTGTTTGGGGGGGGGGGGTATTTATTCCTTATGAGTAATTTTTCTTTCTTTCCTGAAATCTCACTAATAAAGCAGAACTTCTAGCTACTCCAAATGTGATTTTGAACAGGATAGAATGGATGTCTTTTTTCTGTGCTGTATATATATTGATTGGTGAGTAAAACACATTATTGCATTTGATTTTGTTACTATGCAGGAATATTCCTATGTTCCAGTCTATTTCTGAGGCTATTAATTGCCCAAATATATAAGTGTTGTTTCTGCTGCACTTGTTTTATTTCAGAGAATTATGAAGTATTTGGAGATGTTAAAATGCAGACTTGCACAAGGCAAATAGCCAAACAACAGCAGTCATACTGTAACGAATGTTGTCTGGGCCTTGATATAGTAGTAGTAGTAAGCTTTATTGCGGTCAGAGACCAAATTAAAATAGACAAAGAAAGGGAGCATATTTTACAAATATGGATAGATCGTGGGACAGTACACCATCTACTGCCTCAAATACAATCTGTACTGTCAATGCTGGTGATCCTCTGCCGTCGGGGTTACCTGTCCCTTTTCCTGTTTTTTTCCAGCCACGACTTTAGCAAAATTTTTTGCCACCTTTAGAGTTATATTGGGGTCTGCATCCTGGAGTAGGAAATAAAGGCTGAACATATCAGGTGAACCAGGGAATCTCTGTGAAATAGGAGAAATGAGTCTTGATCTTATATCCCGGGCCTTGATATATAGTTAGTCCTTGACCAGAATTGAGCCCAAAATTTCTGTTGCTAAGTGAGAAATTTGTTAATTGAGTTTTGCTCCATTTTATGACTTCCTGCCAAATTTATTAAGCAAATCACTGCAACTGTTAAATTAGTAGCACCATTGTTAAGTGAATCTGGCTTCCCCATTGACTTGGCTTGTCAGAAAGTTGCATGATTCCAATATGCCACAACAGTCATATCTATGAAAATTGGTCATAGTCATTTTTTGCTGCTGTTTTAACTTCACATGATCACTAAGTGAACTGTTTTTAAGTCAAGGACTACCTGTATAACACTGTATGCAGCAGATTAGCTCATAGGTTGTAGTGGACATGTGACATTTATACTTTGAAATCTTTACTAAAGTCCTGATAAGCAATTCTTACTATTTCTTGGCTGCAGACAACAGAGATTCATCTGGTCTCTGCACAAGAAATTAAATTACCAAATTGAATTGTCTTTTAGATGTTATTATAAAACATGGTAGCCTGCCACTCAATGCTGCTCCTATTCTTTAAAACCTCCACAGCAGACACAAAATATAACTACTTACAACTGCTGTGGAAAATATTTGAAGCTACTATACCTTTTTTTTTTTTCCAGTTCTATTTTCTTCCGGCACTTTTAGTTTTTTCTGTTGTTATTTTTTCTTTTTGTTTTCTCTATCCCAATTTATTAACATAACTAGAATTGGGCAGTTTTGGTAAGCAAATTGCACCATTTACTATTCAGAACATGGGAAATGAAGAACTGGTGTTGCTTTCATGCCCAAGAAAGTATATTATCTCCCATCTTTTGTTTACCTTCTCAGCTCAAAAGCTTCAGCGTTCTATCATAATCCTTCCACCTACAATGTTCCCCTGCCTATTAGTGGGTTTATGGTGAGGATGCTTCCCTGGCTGAGGATTGGTTAGACAAGCAGTTTTTGCTCTTTACTTTCCTTTGTGGTGCACCTCTTTGCTTCCTCGCTAAGGGTCAACACACAGTGAACTCAAGCACCCTATCATGACCATCATAATTTATGCCTCCCTTCCGGGAGGTTAACAAGGCTACCAGATTGCAATAATATGAGATTTTCTCTGTGTTCTCTACTATCTAGTGTCTAGTTTTTTTCGTTTCCTCCAAAGATTTAGCTAAAACCTTTTTGTTTACTTTTTCTGAAGGGGGGGCAAATATTTTTTTGAACTCTGAAATAAGCGCTTGGCCTTATTGTCATGCGCTCAAATGCCCGATTGGGCTTATTATCAGGGGATGTCTTATTTTGGGGGAAACAGGGTATCTGATCTGCCCCATAAAGAAACCCCTTTGTGAGTAGTGCCATGAGAAATTACTCACCACTGAAGCTTCCTTAGGGATGGCAGGGAAGAAATTGCTTGATGTTAAAAGTCTTGGCATTTTATTAATAACACTTTTTTAAACCTGTAATCCTCTTGGCATTCCCTTCCATGAGTCTTTTCTCCCCTTATCTGAATCCGTCATTTTGTCTGGCACTACTAAGTCTGACATTTCAACACAGCTGGAGGAGAAATCCAGCACAATGTATTGTTATGTTTTGTTTCAACTCTTCAGAAATCAACCAGCCACAAACAATCAAAGCGAAAAGGTGTAAAGGTAAAAAAAATAGATGTGGACAGGACAAGAAAGTAAAGCAGGTAAAGGTCAGCTCTAGAAAAAAGGTTACCTTAGTGAGTGTCATCACAGGAATCCTTCAGGCCAGGGGTGAAATGCTCCCGGTTGGGATCGGTAGCGATGGCAGCGGGTGGTTCGGAGAACCGGTAGCAAAAATCCCTGCGCCGTGCCCCCCCCCCCGCCCCCCAATTTTTTCTACAACTTCTTTGGCAGAAAAAATGCTTTTAAAAGTTAAAAAAAAAAGTCTCTGATGCTTTCCCGGTTTCGGGGGGGCTCGAAGGGGGAGGCTCCTTTCCCTCAGAGATTCTACGCCTCAGCAGAGCAGCTGCAAGCCGTTCCCTCCAAAATTTCCCACGCCCTCCCAGAGCCTGGATCATGGTACTCCTTCCTAGAGGGAAAACACTGTAGAAGAAATTCCTGGTGGCTGTGTCCTGTTTTGTAAAGCAGGAGTTTGCAGCCCCCAGGCTGCGGCCCACTGCCAGGCCGCAGCCCATTTGGAACTGAGCCACAGAAGTGGGTGAGGGCGTGTGTGCACTTATGAAGCTGCATTTGTGATAGTTGCAAACGCAAAACCATCCCCTCTCCCCCCTGCCACCTCTGCCAGCCCACTGACCCAGAAAGATTGGAGGACACTGTTGTAAAAATGTAGAATTTCCTCCCAAAGTCAGGTGAGCCTAGGGATTTTCTTTTCCAAATCCTACTTGCGGAAGTATTCAAAACCACCAGCGCAGGGATAGACCAGGGTACAGACAGAGACATTCCCCAGAACGCGGATTCAAGCGCAGGGACTCTCCCAACCCCAACAGCAGAAGAGATCACAGAGGTAGGCCCCAGGATAGTCACTCAGGCTCACTCTATGGGCTTGGAGGATGGGGGCACGACAACAAACAAATAAAGAAAGAGAACATTTGGCTGTTAGACTCAGGTGCAACCAACCACACCACCCACAATGCCAACTTACTCTCCTCATTCACAGAGGAAAGCTTCATGATTAAAGTAGCGAACCAAAACAATGTCAGAGTGGCGGGGAAGGGAAACATAAACATACCAGAGATTGGAGAAATAGAGGGGATCTTATTTGTGCCAGAGATCCCATACAACATACTGGCCGCCATACGGCTAAGCAAGGACACAGACATCGAAGTCATTTTCAAGGCAGGATAGGCACGCCTGGTCAAGAATGGAAAGGACATAGGAGAGGTTATAATTAGCGATGGCCTGCCATACTTCAAAGCAGGCAACATTAATCATCTAAGCATAAACACTAACTCAGGGGCAGAGCAGGAACAGACTTCTTCCGAAGATGATAGAGAGAACAATGATGAAGTAGAGGGGGACAGCCACCAAGAGGCAAGGGGCAGTGAACATAACTACGAGCCCATCGACGACAACAAACTCTCGTTAGGTAGACCCATACATGACAACTGTGCACACCTCCTACACAGGAAGCTAGGCCACATTAGTTTTCCTGTTGTAGAAAAGATGACAAAATGTACTGATGGTTTAAGAGTAAAGAATTGTGAAAACTATCTCGAGTGCTCAATCTGTAAATGTTCCAAACTAAAAACAAAACCGAGACCAAAGAAGTCAGTACGCACAACCGACTCTATTTTTCAATTAATACATATGGACCTAGTGGGGCCTCTAAAACCTTCTATCAAATACAAAAAAAAAGATTCTTCCTAACTATCGTAGATGACTACAGCCGCTACGGCTTCGTATACACCATCAACCATAAGAATGAGGTGTATCAAAAATTCAGGGAATTTTACAAAAGAGTAGAGGTTCAACACAACACAAAAATAAAACAAATAATGACTGACCAAGGTTCTGAGTTCCTATCAAGGGACTTCTCAAGGTGGTTAAGGGAACATGGGGTACTGCATTATACATCCTCACCATTCTCCGCCTTCCAGAATGGAGTAGTAGAACGAAAAAACAGCACATTACAAACTGATGAGGTGCGCCTTGGAAGATGCGGGACTAGGGCAATCCTGGTCAGAAGCCCTTCTCTATTGCAACTACACACTTAACAGGTTGTGGTCTAGCGTAATAAACGCAACTCCCTATGAGCTAATGTATAGGAGGAAACCCAACATAGCCCACCTACACGTGTTTGGGGTCACAGCCGACGTACGTATCCCCAAGTTATTTTCGCAGATGACACAACAGTGATTAGTCTCATTCGAGACAATGATGAATCCGCATACAGATGGGAGGTTGAACAACTAGTCTCGTGGTGCGACTGGAACAATCTGGAACTGAACACACTCAAAACCGTAGAAATGGTGGTAGACTTTAGGAGAAACTTCCACCTCTCACAATACTAGACAACACAGTATCAACAGTAGAGACCTTCAAATTTCTAGGTTCTACCATATCACAAGATCTAAAATGGACAGCTAACATCAAAAACATCATCCAAAAAGAACAACAAAGAATGTTCTTTCTGCGCCAACTCAGAAAGCTCAAACTGCCCAAGGAGCTGCTGATACAGTTCTACAGAGGAATTATTGAGCCTGTCATCTGCACCTCTATAACTGGTTTGGTTCTGCAACCCAACAAGACAGACACAGACTTCAGAGGACAATTAGAACTGCAGAAAAAACTGGCTACCAACCTGCCTTCCATTGAGGACCTGTATACTGCACGAATCAAAAAGAGGGCTGTGAAAATATTTACAGACCTTTCACATCCTGGATATAAACTGTTTCAACTCCTACCCTCAAAACGACGCTACAGAGCACTGCACACCAGAACAACTAGACACAAGAACAGTTTCTTCCCAAACACCATCACTCTGCTAAACAAATAATTCCCTCAACACTGTCAAACTATTTACTAAATCTGCACTACTATTAATCATTTCATCGTTCCCACCACCCATCTCCTTCCACTTATGACTGTATTACTGTAACTTTGTTGCTTGTATCTTTACAATTTATATTGAGATTGTTTCCTGATTGCTTATTTGTACCCTATGATTATCATTAAGTGTTGTACCTTAGAATTCTTGATGAACATATCTTTTCTTTTATGTACACTGAGAGCATATGTACCAAGACAAATTCCTTGTGTGTCCAATCACAGTTGGCCAATAAAATTCTATGATCTATGATTTACAATTTACAACTTATTTGCCATGATTATTATTACATTGGTACCTCTTGTACTTTGATGTTGCCTAATGCAACACATTCCTTTATGTTAGCCAGGCACTCAGTGCTGCTTCTATTCTTTAAAATCTGCTCGACAACAGACACAAAATATAACTACTTACAACTGCTATGGAATTTTTAATCTTTTTAATTTTATAATTAAATTAATTAAATTTTATAATTGTACTTTTAATTTTATGTTATTCTTTCCTTTTTGTTTTCTCTGTCCCAATTGTGACAGCTGAAATTGGACAATTTTGGTAAGTAGATCACACCACATGTTACTATTCAAAACATGAGAAACAGAGAACTGGCATTGCTTTCATACCCAAGAAGGTATATTCTTTTCCACCTCATGTTTACCTTCTGAGCTAAAAAGCCTCAGCATTCTATCATAATCCTTCCATTTTGCAAGGTTCCCTGCCTATTAGTGGGTTTAACTTCTTTTAGGGTTAAGCTGTTTCATTGCATGATTAGTTAAGACAAGCAGTTCTTCCGTACCTTTGTTATGCATCTCTTTGCATCCTTACTAAGCATAAAGAGCAAATGCACAAGTACTCTCCTTATGCCTGCCTTTCAGGGGCTTAGCTTGCAGTAATATGACAATCAACAAGGCAAAAATGGAACGAAAAGACCAAAACACCTCACCCCCCCAGCTCCCAGATAAGCATAGATTTACTCCAAAATTAACGTCAGACCAACAACCAAGAAGTAAATAATAGCTGAATCAAGGAACTGCTAAACAGATTAACAGCTCAACCAAAAAACCTCCAAGACCTCTCTGACCACACTGACAGGTAAGTCTATTTCTTACTAGTACTGATGATGTTACCAAGTTTTGCTAATGAGATATCTGCAAGAAAATCAAGCTCGGCTCATCAAAGAATGCTGTCCACTTGGGCAGTTTTCTAGTGTCACAATGGAATGGAACATGCTCAGAAAACTTGACATCAATTCCCTGTTATGCAGAGGAAAGGAAAGGCTTTGGTGGGAGTATCTCCTCAGTCATCCAGGTCATGATTGTCTCAAAGGTGCTTTTTAAAGAGGCAACTGGACTTTCTAGTTTTTCTTTGAACAACTTGACAAGTGGAATATTGAAATAAAGATTTTATTTGACTCCGGTGGTTTCTTCAGTTGCAGCCTTCAGGGTAGAACAATGAGTTCTACCCTCGCAAGAACACTCTCCATTAAATCAAATGTGAAAACTGCAGAATGAGGATTATCACCTGATACAATTTCTCATGTGTTAAACCAACATGGGCTTTGCCAGTGCCTCAATGCTCTAAGACAGTTCGTCGGTTCATTTGTCCTTGAAATTGTTCAACACATGGAAATCATGCTAGGTGGCAATTGCAATGATCTCAAGGAGGAACTACTAGGATTTTGCCTGAAAAGTTTAAAATACCATTGCTAATGGGAGAGCTTGATCCATTGGCTGAAGAGACAGCTGAGAATCCTCTAAGACAGTTTGCAGACAGAATTTTAGCCTATACTAGAGAATTATTTCTACAAGTGTGTTTTCAGTCAATATGTAAAAGTGAAAACTGGGATAATGAAGACATCGAAAATGGACAAGGAACAATGTACAGATGCTTTAGCATTCTATTTTATATACTACAGTATTTGTTCAGGACTGCTTTGGTATTGACTGCCTCCCAGTAGTTTTCAACCCATTATATATTTTGCATTGCAGTATGGTACATATTACAGCTCTGTAACATGTAAAGACAGAAGCTTTATCGAAAGGACTTCCTCTTTTGGAGAACTGTCTCCTGAGATTGGAAAATAATTGCCTTTTTCTTGATATTTGGAGTTTGAAGGCTTTATTACAATACTTCAGGGTTTGGTCAAAGTTATGACCCAATGCCCCTTTGAATCTCTGAGAAAGAAGAGCTTGAAAGTTTTGCAGCTCTCTATAGGTAAGTTTGATGAAGAGGGAAAATACATATTATTTAAATGTTTATTGAAGACAAGCAACCATTCCAACATGGAAGGACATTATTCAGAATATTAAAAATCAAATTGATTTGTCCTTAAAGAAGACAGGTTTTTTTTTTTTTACTGGACTCTTGTTTGTGTATCTGTTCGACATGGTGCTCTTATTTCAGTGGTGGGTTGCCCCTGATTCGCACCGGTTCTATAGAACCGGTAGTAAAACTGGCAGGAGGCTCCGCCCAATGGCCTGACGTCATCAAAATGCTTTTGCGCATGTGCACGCGCAGCCCCACTGCAAACCAGTAGTAAAGGTAAGTAGAACCCAACCCAGTCTTACTTCCTGAAGGTGCTGAAACAGATCTTCTCCAGCACTCAGGATAATAGCCTCACTGAATTTGCTGAGATATTTCCTTATTAAGGATAATCAAGATGACAATAAGTCTTGTGTATGGACAGAACTTTACAAGAAAGAGAAATTTCTTGAAGCCCTTGCACACTGGACTTAACATGTCAGGAGCACACTCACTGAAGCAGAAATAAAAAGGAAGGAAAAAAATAAAAGATCAGCCTCGCAGTTCTAAAAAGACTTTTCAATCGATAGCTGAAGCAAAGATGTCAGGAATTACAAAGGATATGGAGCTTCAAGCTCTTTACTCTGCACTTCTCCCATTTGATTTAATGGAAAGTGTTCTGGCAAGGGCAGAAACATTGAAAACAGGCTGCCACTGAAGAAACTACTGGAATAGTAATAAAACCTTTATTTCAGTAAAAATATGGAGATTCTCAATCATCCAGGTCATGGTTGTACCAAAGGGGCTTTTTCAAAGAGGCAACTGGACTTTACTTTTTCTTTTCTTTTTTTTCTTTTCTTCTTTTCTTTTGAAGACGTTTCACTTCTCATCCAAGAAGCTTCTTCAGCTCTGATTGGATGGTGGGGAATGGAAGGATTTATATTCCTTGCGGACACCTAGTCATTTTTTTATTTCAGCACTCAATTTGTCAAGTCACTCAAAGCAAAACAAGTCCGGCTGCCTCTTGGGGAAAAAAAGCACCTTTGGCAGTGGGAGGCTCTCTCGCCAAAGGCAGGAAGCGCGGTCGCGTACGGCGCTTTGCCTCTCTGGGAAAGAGGACTCTGTGTCCCAACCTCTGGGAGGACCGGGGAGGTGGGTGGGGAACTTGTGACGGGAGCTACTTGCGACTGCTTTGCTGATGTGGAGAAGCCCCCGAGGAAGCGGCGCCCGCCTTCTCCCCTCCCGGGAACCGGGACGAAGGTGGGGAGGGCCTGAGAGGAACTCGACGGAGCCGAAGCAAGGAAAGAAGCCTCGGCTGCGGCTTCTGATCCCCGACCGTCGCCAGACCTGCTGCGGGAACGAGCGGCGCTTCGGGGACAGCTCTCCCCTCCTTGGATTCCCTTTGGCTTCTTCGCCTCTGCTGGACCCGGAGAAGATTTTGTTCGCTTGGAAGCGGAGCTGTGACCGAAGGCGGCGGCCTCGGAGGGAGTTTCCCCCGTTGGGGCTGCGCTGAAGCCGGAGACGGAATGGAGGCTCGGGGGTTTCCCCTTCAGGCGGGGAGCGGCCTCCCCGAGGGTCCCCGTAGCTCCGAGGCTGAGCGCTGGCGCTTCCGCAGCTGCGTCTCCCGGGAGGCGGAGGGGCCCCGGGCGCTTTGCAGCCGCCTGTACGGGCTGTGCCGGGGGTGGCTGCGGCCCGAGCGGAGCAGCAAAGCCGAGATGCTGGACCTGGTGGTGCTGGAGCAGCTGCTGGCCCTGCTGCCCCCGGAGCTGGTGGGCTGGCTGAGGGAGTGCGGGGCGGAGAGCTGCGCCCAGGCGGTGGCCCTGGCCGAAGGCTGCCTCCTCGGCCCCGCAGCCGCCCCGGAAAAGCTGGCAAAGGGCCGGCAGGTGAGAAAAGTCAACCGTGGGTGGCCGATGCATCTAACTAGCAGACTGTAAGAAATCGCAGATATAAAGGAAGAGTCAGCAAGCAGCAAAGTTTTCAGCAGCTCCTAATATTTTGAAAAGTGATTTCTTTTTCGATGCAAATGCTTCTTTTGTCCTCTTGGTGATAATGCCATGGGAGGAAGGAGAAATTCAAGCCTTTTTCAACCCCATCACCACCCATCCTCAAAGGATGAAAGAGGCGTCAGAGTTTTGGGGGTGGTGGTGGCTGGAATCCCTTCTCCACGCTGCCCCTCTTCCATCCCCTAATGCAGAAATTTTATTGAGGCGCTTTTTCCGTTTAAAGTGATATTAGTCAAACTGCAGTGTCGTCACAATATTCTGAACTTTCTTTGAAAGATATGCACACCTCTGTTTCTCTTCTTTAAAAGTAGTCGCTGAGAAGAGACGTCTGGAAGAGGGGTCCCAAACCTTGGCAAGTTTAAGACTTGTGGACTTCAACTCATTCCTCAGCTAGCATGGCTGGCGGCAGGGATTCTGCGAGTTGGTCCACAAGTCTTGCCAAGTTTGGAGACTCCTGGTGTAAAAGATACATGTTGGGATGGTGTAATGATCTATGGGAATGACATTGGAAGGGGGAAGTGTCACGGAATACACAACCATCATGTAAAATCTTGAGCCTTCCCACAAAGGGGGGTGGGGGGGAAAATGTTTTGGATTACCTGAGGAGTGAAAGGACAGGAGGGGAGAAATACTTTCAGGCTTGCAAAATTTTGTTAATGTGACCTTGCGATAAATCTTGACCTTGATCCCAAGGTATGTCCACGAACTGCCAGGCTGGCAGTTCAAGTCTCCTCCCTGTCCTAGCGAAGCTAAACAAAAAAGGGGAGATCGATCCTATTTCTCTCAAGTGCTAATGGTCCCTAAATCTAACAGAAAATATTCCCAGAGGAAGGGATAGAGCTGGCATGTGTAAATCCATATGGGAAGAAAGGCCTAGCTAAGGGAGAAGATAAGGAAGCAAATCCTGATTAGAACAAAAAGAGGAAATAAAAAGGCAATGAAACATTTCACAAAAATGGCAGGCATTTACCCTGACATAGTGGCCACCTTCAAATCAGAATCCCTGAGTTCTCTCACTTTGACTTGAGTCGGGGAAATTCAAGTGGAAGTCAAAAAGGTAAGCCAAGCAACCTAACATGGCAATAGTCATATGAAAGTGGATCATAAACCAGGCTGTTTTTTCAGGCACAGGAGCTGTTCGCAAGAGAGATCTCAGCAGAGCTCCAGGAAAAAGATCAACCCAATCCTTCTCAACAGCTTCATTTCAGGAGGATCCAACTTGGGCCACCTTGCCAGGCAAGTATAGGTTTCTTCTGAAACAGTGGTTCTCAACCTGTGGGTCGGGACCCCTTTGGGGGTCGAATGATCCTTTCACAGGGGTCACCTAAGACCATCAGAAAACACATATTTTTGATGGTTTTAGGAATAATTTTATGGTTGGGGGTCACCACAACATGAGGAACTGTATTAAAGGGTCGCGGCATTAGGAAGGTTGAGAACCACTGTTCTGAAAGCAATAAAGTTCCAGCTCCTACCATTCTGGGGCTGTCTTTACAATCAAATGCTGAGTCTGGGCATTTGAACATGGTGTCTTCCCCCTGAATGGTCCGCTGAGCCACACTCCATCACTTTCCAGGTTGTTCTTCATCTGTAAGCAAAGGATCATTCACAGGGTGAGAGGCTTGTATTATGAAATGTAATTGATGTGTTGAAAGAGCTTAATACATAATATGTTTCAACCAGTGGTGAAATCTAAAATTTGTTACTACCGGTTCTGTGGGCGTGGCTTGGTGGTGGTGGGTAATGTGACTGGGTGGGCGTGGCCAATTTTTTTTTTTTAACTTTTAAAACCATTTTTTTCTACAACCTCTTCGGTGAAGAGGTTGTACAAAAATGCTTTCAAAAGGCTCTGAGGATCCCAGCTGAGTTGCCTGATCGGCAGAGACTTTTTTTCTTTTAAATGCCTCTGACAATCAGGCAACTCAGCTGGGATCCTCAGAGCCTTTTGAAAGCATTTTTTTACAACCTCTTCGCTCTGAAGAGGTTGTAGAAAAAATGCTTTTTAAAAGCCTTTGACGATCCCAGCTGAGCCGTGCAATCATCAGAGGCTTTTTTTTTTTACTTTTAAAAGCATTTTTTCGGCCAAAGAGGTTGTAGAAAAAATGCTTTTAAAAGTAAAAAAAAAAAACCTCTGATGATTGTGTGGTTCAGCTGGGCATTTGTGTGTGTGGGGGGGGGGGGGGGCAGGGATTTTTACTACCGGTTCTCCGAACCACCCGCCTCCATCGCTACCGGATCAGGCGATCCGGTCCGAACCGGGAGCATTTCACTCCTGGTTTCAATTGAATGTGAAAACCAGTTAAAAATTAGGAATTGGAAAAGAACTGCTTTGGAAATATGCCAGCCTATGCACTTAAAAATGAATCACCTGAAGGTTTCAGGTTTCCTCTGTAAAACCTACTAAGTAAACCCCAAATGGCTGTAACAATAAGATTGCAGGTCAAACGACTTGGGATTTCCCTGGTTATTTCCAAAATTTTGAAACAGGCCAGGAAAGAAGTTCCTGGTTGCTTCGTCCTATTTTGAAAGGGAATTTGCTGAACCAGGCAGGTGCTCCCATGGGATTCTGCTCCCCAAAACCTCCTTGCAGAGTCATTCTGCAGCTGTTGGCAACTCCTCAAAGGGGGTGTTGTCATCCTACAACTTAAATGCATTAAAACCATATTTTGCTCCTTTGCAGCAGTAGCCTCAAGTGGTTGGTCTATAGACCATGGGGACCTACAGACATACCTGTCCTGTAAGAAAATGTCCAACTGATCTCTTGCAAAGCTCTGTTTTGTGTTTTCTGTAGTAAGAAAGGAAACACAGAGAGGATTGTCTGTTAGGGATAGTGTTCTTTCTCTTTCTAGGACTCTGATCCCTTTGAGGAGGTGACTGTGGACTTCACAGAGGAGGAGTGGGCACTGCTGGATTCTGGCCAGAAGGCCTTGTGCAGGGAAGTCATGCTGGAGGTTACTAGGAATACGGCCACTCTGGGTAAGGACCCTCTTTGCTCTGGGTCCTGTTCATTGGGAAAGGTGTTTTAAGTGGGAGGTAAACAAGGTAAAGGTTCGAGGTAAACAAGGACGATTGCTTAAGCTGCTGACTGGCTGCCTCAACCAGTAGCTTCATGTCCATGATCACCTCAACCATAGCTTCATGTCCACGTTAACGAAGGAGATGTCAAACTTTGAAGAAAACCACAACCAAGCAACCTTGGACCCAATCACTCCTCCACCACCCTTTCCCCTCAACACTGCTCCGGGACTGTCCCTTGGGAAAAGAGAACCACTGCAAAATAATATTTTCAACTTCTGACTTTGGAGGTGGTTCAGAATTTTCAATTGTATGAAAAGCCACAGAGATGTCAAACAAGATTAGAAGGATTGTATTCCTGATATACCAATCCCTTCAGAGGTCACTCACAAACATAATGATGTGTAATTCTGACCTAAATCTTCATAAAATAAGTCTAGATAATGTTCTCCATACTGAGTCCTCTGTAGCTGTAGCTTCATCCTTTTTTAAAGAGTCTCTGTTGAAGATTTATGTGTAGGAATCCAGTATTGTTAGAATGGCTTTTGAGGAGGTGACACTGCTGCCTCATTCTAGAAGGATAGCAGCCCCTCAGCCAAGAATCTATTTACTAAAGTCTAATGGGAACTTATATTTTCTTTTTCCCAATCAGGTGATGGGCTGGAGAATGACAATGAGAAACAGGTGAGGTTAATGCCAATGCAAACAGCAAACCTTCAAGTAGAAGAAGTGATTTTTGACCATCAACAGGATGCAAAACCGCAAGAGAACAGCCACTCGGAAGATCAAGGGGAGAGGTCTTCCACTTATCTTCCTATTAAAATCCATGACTTCCTGATCCAGCAAGACCAGAAAGGGAAGAGAAAGGGCAAATATAGCAAAAGAGAGAAAAATGAATTTGATTTAGGTGAATATGCCAGAAGCCAGACCAAAGGAAAACAGTATGGCTACAGACAATATGCGAAATCCATCAATCGCTCTTTCTCTCTTTCTTTACCTAAGAAACAGTACAGAAAACACAAGCCACATATATTGGTAAAATTTGGGAAGTGTTTTGGTCTGAGCAGAGACATGAAGCTCTGTATGAAGTGTGGAAAGAACTTCAGTAGCAACAGTACACTTAATCGTCATCAGAGGATCCACACAGGGGAGAAACCATATAAATGCACGGAGTGTGGAAAAAGCTTTTCTCGAAACACGCAGTTTATTCATCACAAAAGGATCCATACAGGGGAAAGACCATATAAATGCCCAGAATGTGGAAAGAGCTTTATTGAGAACAGAGATTTTACTCGGCACCAAAGGATCCACACAGGAGAGAGACCATATAAATGCATAGAATGTGGAAAGGGCTTTATCGACAGCAGAGACCTTAGTCGCCACCAAAGGATCCACAGAGAGGAGAGACCATATAAATGCACAGAGTGTGGAAAAAGCTTTAATCACTACAGAACCTTTACTCATCATGAAAGAATGCACACTGGAGAAGATCAATATAAATGCATAGAGTGTGGAAAGAGTTATAATAACTCTAGTACTTTTACTATTCATAAAAGGATCCATGCAGGTGAGAAACCATACAAATGTTTAGAGTGTGGAAAGAGCTTTACCCGGAAAGGACATCTTAATCGTCATGAAAAGATTCACACGGGGCAGAAACCTTTTAAATGCATAGAATGTGGAAAGGGCTTCAGTACAAACTGTAATCTGGCTCGCCATCAGAAGACCCACACAGGTGAAAAAACACATAGTTGCAGGGAGTGTGGAAAGACATTCACTGAGAGTAGTGATATTACTTCCCATCAAAGGATCCACACAGGAAAGAGACCATATAAATGCCTGGAATGTGGAAAGAGTTTTTTTGAGAACAGTGACCTTACTCGACATCAAAGGATCCACACAGCGGATAGACTGCATAAATGCTTGGAGTGTGGAAAAAGCTTCACTCAGAAAGGAACACTTAATTCTCACAAAAGGATCCACATGCAAGAGAGACCATATAAATGCATGGAGTGTGGAAAGAGCTTTATTGACAAATGGCGCCTTACTTTCCACCTAAGGATCCACATGGCGGAAAGACCATATAAATGCGTGGAGTGTGGGAAAAGCTTTCTTCGTAATACAGAACTTATTCATCATAAGAGGATCCACACTGGGGAGAAACCATATAAATGTGTACAGTGTGGAAAGCAGTTTACTCAGAAAGGACATCTTACTCATCATGAAAGAATCCATACAGGGGAGAAACCATATCAGTGTATAACATGTGGAAAGAGCTTTGCTCAGAAAGGACAACTGAATTCTCATGCGAGAATCCACACAGGGGAGAGGCCATATAAATGCTTAGAGTGTGGAAAAAGCTTTCATTGGCGCACAGAACTTATTCATCATGAAAGGATCCATACTGGAGAGAGACCATATAAGTGCATGGAGTGTGGAAAGCAATTTATTCAGAAAGGTCATCTTATTACTCATGAAAGAATCCATACAGGGGAGAGGCCATATAAATGCACAGAGTGTGGAAAAAGCTTTGCTCGGACAGGACAACTTAATTCTCATAAAAGGACCCACACAGAAGAGAGACCATATAAATGCATGTAGTGTGGAGAAAGTTCCAACAATTTCAATATAGTTACTCATGCAGAAATCCAAAGTGGAGAAAATACATATAAATTCATAGAGTGTGGAAAGAGCTTTGCTTGGAAAAGATAACATAAATCTCATAAAATTATGCCCACAGAAGAAACCATATACATCTATGGAATGAGCTTCATTCAAAACAATCAAATTACTCATCATCAAAGAATCCAGAAATGAGAAGGAAGCTGCTTATTGCATAGAACGTGCAAAGTTCTTTTGTTTGATCTGGAATGTTATTCATGGTCCTGTGAGGATTCTCTGATTTCCAAGGAGTGGACACAACATAGCACAGCATTAGCAACTCTGTACAGCGTGCTTCATTGTGTCTCATGCCTTCCCAGCAATAGGCTATTGCTCTTAACTCTACCCTTCTGGACCTTGCAAGCTGAGATTGCCGTGCAAATGCATCTTTAAGACTGAGTCCTTAACTGAAACAAAAATTTCAGTCTGTAAAGTGGTACGCAACCTTTGCTTCCTTCCAAACATTCTTGCATTGAGGGATTGCCTCGGTGCATTTGCTCCATTTTTTCTTGTCCAATTTCCAAGCCCTTTTAATACTTTTAAGCAGTATTGCCAAGCTGAGTTGTCAAGTCAATCTCTAGGCGGGAGTCCCACCAGAATATGTTGCTTGCCGTAGTTTGTAGTGCTGGCAGTTGAGGGATTGCTTGCTTGTATTGCTTGTCAGTCACCAAATATGGCCTCCTGCTTCACCATCTTCTTGCCCTTATCTCCTTTTCTCTTACAGCCCCACACAAGCTCTTTGCTCTTTCTTAGCCTTTGTTTCTGTAAACTAAGGGCCTTGGTGAGGTGAGGTTGCTTCTGGATTTCCACACATTGTTGAAAACACCAGTCGTGGCTCAGCCAAGCAACTGGATCGCCAGTGTGGATCCTTGGAAGTAAAGTGAGTGAGTGAAGGCATGAGCCCATCTCAGATTTTTCGAGCTGTGCTGAGCCATGGGAAAGAGGGGTGTCCTGGCTGCAACTGTTTTTCCAAAGCACAGATAGCAATTGTAGCTTTGCTTCCTCAAACTTCCATGCAGGAGAGAGACTATAAACACCTGAATATAGAAAAACTGAAGGGAGAGCTGTGGCCTGACTATTGATGGGATGCCCCATACAGGAGTATTGTCATACAAACATATGGATAAACTACATAGTGGGTAATTCAATAAAAGTTGTCTCATTCATTCTACATTTTCTGCACATATTTCTCAAAGGTATCCGAGACACTTCAGAGAAAAGGGTTAGGAATTCAGATTGGAAGAATTTTCATCTTCTTTTCTCCCCATTGTATTATCTGCTCCCTTCCTTTCCATGCAGTGCCTTCCCAGATTACTCAATCCATTTTTGAAGGGGTTCTGCAATTTCCTGAACTACAACATACTCCCCAGATGGGTTTGCCCATTGGCTACACCAAAATGTGATTAGTAACAGGCTAAGTCTTTAAAAAGTATATCTGGCTGTTTAAATTGACATTTCTGACTCTACATTTACGGTACATTGAAAAGCGAGCGTGATATTGGGAGGTAAAAGAGTTGCCTTGAACTGCAAGATGACTGGCATATAAATTGAATGAATGAATGAATGAATGAACAATTATGTCTGATGTAGAAAGGTAAAATAGATTTTTCCTGAATTCAAAGGAGGAATTCTCTAGAGCTGAATGTTACATTCCTACCCTTAATATAGCTACTAATTTATATCTTCTTTTTTTATTGCTACTTATGTTTATATTATGTGCAGCTAAAAGTATTTAATTGGCTTTGTTCAATAAATTATTTCAAGTTTTATTGCCTGAAACCCTTTGTCATATATGGATGGGGCAAAACAAGGCTAGTTTGGGACAGTCAAACAATATATCAGACTGCAGCAGTGACAAACTACTTCTGTGTTACTGCTGAGCAAATATGGCTATTTTGAACCAAGCTCTTAGAATAACAAAACAACAGAGTTGGAAGGGACCTTGGGGGTCTTCTTGCCCAGCCCTCTTGCTCAGGCAGATACCCCTGGCCTGGCCTGGCCTATACCATTTCAGACAAATGGTTGCTCAATCTCTTCTTACGAACCTCCCATGTTGGAGCGCCCACAACTTCTGGAGATCACTCGATTGATTGCTGTGTTATCAAAGCAGTGCCAATTCTTAGTAAGCACCAGGCAAAATCTCTTCAGGATACACCAGGCTCTTCAGGACCCCTAGTCATGCACTCATTGCTGCTCTGATAGAATGCATCTGTCTTGTTTCTGTTCCTCTCCTTCCTCCCATCTTTGCTAGTTCTATGGAGTCGGGTCTTCGCTTAATCTTCTCTGTTTATTTGTGCCCATGTCTGAAATCTCAGTTGATTTCTTCTGTGATCCATTTGTGGGGTTCTTTGACCATGGTGTTTTCAAGAATGATCACATGGCTAGAAGGGACCTTTGAAGTCTTCTAGTCCAATCCAATTCCGTGCCCAAGTTGTGGAAGTTCTCCAGCAGCCCCTTGGCTGCACCATCTGCACCACTTCATCTGTCTGCACTTCTTCTGGGGACCCTTATATGCACTGTACCCCTCTGGGCATTTCCTCTGTGGGAGATGTGGCTCATAGCTGGCTGGAGAATTCTGGGAGTTGAAGTCCACAAGTCTTAAAGCTACCAAGTTTGAAGACCTCTGCCTCAAAACATTTATAACTTTCATATTTATTCAATAATACATTACATTACATTATACAATATAATAATTATATAATACATAAACTGCCGGAAGTAAAGAAAAAATCCCAGGTGCTCAAAACCAACGACCAAAGCAAGATTTCATTCAAAGGAGCTTTGCTCATTCCAGCCCTTGCTCTGTGTCTATGGAGATTCTCAGTCATCCGGATCATGGTTGTCCCAAAGTTGCTTTTTTTTTTTCCCCAGAGGCAACTGGACTTTCTGGTTTTTTCTTTGAAGACGTTTCGCTTCTCATCCAAGGAGCTTCTTCAGCTTCAGCTGAAGAACCAGAAAGCCCAGTTGCTTCTTCAGAAAGCGTCTTTGGGTCATCTCTGCTCTTACCTCCACCGTGCCCATCATACTTTCCCCATACTCCCCCATCACCTACCGCTCCCCTACCAAATACTCCGAAATACTCAAACTTCAGCTAACTTTTGTTTGCATCCGCGAGCAAGAGCGCATGTGCAGAAGACGTTGGCCAGACCTGGAAGCTGAGTAGAGGACAGGAGAGGCGGTAGTAGTTTTTGGAAGACGCTCTGGCCAACACCACTAAACGGGAAGAGGGGGGCGGCGCTTATAGGCGTTTTCCGCTCTAGGAAACAGCACTCTCTGGCTGAGCGTCTGGGAGACCGGGAGGGCGGGAGACGTTTTGGCGGGAAGGATATGCAACTGCTCTTCTCGGCCTCGGAAGCCCTGAGGGAGCGGAGCCTCGCCAACTCTCCCCGCTGAAACCGGGGGAGGGGCGGGGGGAGTGGGTGTCGGAGGGTCGGCCGTGACCGAAGGCGGCCTTGGAGGGAGTTTCCCCTGTCGGGGCTGCGCTGAAGCCGGAGACGGAATGGAGGCTCGGGGGTTTCCCCTTCAGGCGGGGAGCGGCCTCCCCGAGGGCCCCCGCAGCCCCGAGGCTGAGCGCTGGCGCTTCCGCAGCTGCGTCTCCCGGGAGGCGGAGGGGCCCCGGGCGCTTTGCAGCCGCCTGTACGGGCTGTGCCGGGGGTGGCTGCGGCCCGAGCGGAGCAGCAAAGCCGAGATGCTGGACCTGGTGGTGCTGGAGCAGCTGCTGGCCCTGCTGCCCCCGGAGCTGGCGGGCTGGCTGAGGGAGTGCGGGGCGGAGAGCTGCGCCCAGGCGGTGGCCCTGGCCGAAGGCTGCCTCCTCGGCCCCGCAGCCGCCCCGGAAAAGCTGGCCAAGGGCCGGCAGGTGAGGGAACTTCATCCTCTTTGACGCCTCTGCTGTCTCTTCTTTACAGATAATCACAGAGAAAATAGATCCAGACAACACGTGTTGGGATTATAAATAAGAAACTATGTGGGAGTAACCCTTGTAGGACGGTATTCCCACATTCTATTTTCCCACATAGTTTGTCATGGACTGGACAGCCATCATGCAAAAGATACCTCAATTCCCCCACGGAGCTGGAGGGGAGAAATGTCATAAAAACCCTTCCTAGTAGTCCAGTGAGTACATTGAGAGAACAAAAAAGATTTTTTTAATGTGGTTTTACAGACAGAGCTAATATTCTTTGTCAGGCTTCTTCTCTACCTGGAAGGGCTGATAAATGTTTCCTCCAGTCAGGATTCCCAAACCAGGAACTCGGACTGAATCCAAGAAGGCTCCTCTATCTAGTAATAGCTATTGTTCAAAATCCCACCCACAAAAGAATGTTTCTGTATCTCAATTGGATCATCCAAGTTCTCTAGTTTTGATCAGTACCATTAGCTTTGAACTGAATGTGAATGTAATGTCTTAAATGAATTTCCTTTCTCATGAACAGGACCTGTTAACCAAGGCGATATTGGACACTGAGATGCTTTTTCAAGAGACAACTGGACTTTCTGGTTTTTCTTTGAAGACGTTTCACTACTCCTCAAAGAAGCTCTTTCAGCTCTTCAGAGTTGAAGAAACTTGAGCTGCTTCTTGAAAAAGTACCTTTGGAACAACCATGACCTGGCTGACTTAGAATCACCATAGAAACTTATATTTCTTCTCTTAGATAATATTTTTGGGAAGAAGCAGAAAAAGAATTATTTTCAGACAGGTATTTAAAACAGTAGCAAATTAGTACAAAGAATGAACAGAGGATAGTAAAAGATTATGAAATAAAAGATGACAATTGTGTTTAGGTGGACCAAACAGTACTTAGGTTGCATATTTCAAAATCTATGTTTGATGTTATGAGACAAGAACACAGAAACCTTCCTTTTCCCCCCTTGCCTCAAGGTTTTTGGATCTAGTCCATACTATCATTCTAAAAAGGAGTAGTATCCAGTAAAATACTTTACAAAATCAGAGTTTGAATATACTTATCCATTTTTTACATTGCTTAGTTTCTGTAAAATTAGAGAGGCAGATCCCAGGCCTACATGTTTTTCCCAATTGATGTAAGACTATGATTATTACCTTAACACAAGTCTTGTATTTCCTGGATTATTCAATATAGAGCTAGAAGGCACTTGGGGGTCTTCTTGTCTAACCCCCTTATTCAGGCAGAAAACCATATATGTACCATTTCAGACAAATAGCTGTCCAGTCTCAACATCTTCTTTGTAATGTGACCAAACCTGAATGCAGTATTCCAGGTATAGCCTTTCTAAGATTTTATAAAATGGTACTAATAGTTGACATAATTTTGATTCTATGCTTCTGTTTATACAACCAAGGATTGCATTAGCTTTTTTGGCTGCTGCCGCACACTGCCATATCATATTTAAGCAATCATCCACTAGGACTCTACGGTCCCTTTGACAGTTACTGTTTTTGAGCCAGGTTTTGCCTAATCTGTACTTGTACCTATGGTTTTTCCTGCCTAAGTGTAAAACCTTGCTTTTCTCTATATTAACTTTCATTTTCTGGTTAGGCCCCATTGTTCAAGTCTGATAAAATCTTATTGTTTCCTGAGCTTATCTTCTGGGAAGTTGGCTATTCCTGCAAGCTTAATGTCATCTACAAATTTGAGGAGTTCCCCTCCTATTCCCTCATCTAAATCATTTATGAAGATATTGAAGAGTACTGGGCCTCAGATGGATCTTTGTGATACCCCACTGTAGACTTTTCACTGCAGACAATTCTAAACAGACTTTCCATTGTACATAGGATAGAGTTTGAAAAAAATGGTCCCTGGAGAAAAAACAAAGCTTGCAGAGAAAAACAATAAAGTATACTTTATTCATATTCCTTTACCGTGATCATGGCGCTCCCTACCCGATGGAGAGAGCCCTGAACAAACCTATTTTTCAGATTAAATGCATATGGACCTTACCTTTTGAAATAATATTAGAGCAAGGTAAAAGGACTAACATAGTTATACAACATTGTTTCCCTGGACTGTTTTGATAAGCTATTAAATTGAACTTTCTCAGGATTCTTCCTGATATTAATATGTCAAAAAGCAGTGTTTACATTATGGTTTAGGGAATGGTTTGTCTGCTGACAATTTTTGGTTATTAAAGTTCCTGTCATGATTTTCATTACTGTTACTAATTCTATTTTCATCTATTCCCAATTTGTGTCATGTCATTCTTTTAGTCCACCTTAGGATATTATTGCACTCTGCATGTCCCTTTGCTTTGATTTGGAGAGTATATCATTCATTAAAGTTAGATATCCTTCAGAATCGTTTTCCAAAAGTGATTTATTGATCAAATCTGCCGAAAGGTTGTACTCCATTGCAACAGAGATTCTCCCTACTTCTGCTTTTCTTTTCTATATCTTCAAAATTATCTTAAAATATTTATCACTAAAGGTTAAACCTGACTGGGAATTTGTTAGAAAGAATGAAATATCCAAATAGCTTTTAATGAGCGTCTCAGTGTTCCAGAGCATGCATTTTACTCTCAAAAGCACCTTGGTGCAGGGGTGAAATGCTCACGGTTCGGACCGGATAACCCAATCTGGTAGCAATGGCGGTGGGTGGTTCGGAGAACCGGTAGCAAAAATCTCTGCCCCTTCCTCCCCATGCCCAGCTGAGCCGAACGATGATCAGAGGCTTCTAAAAAAAAATTTAAAAGCATTTTTTTTATAACCTCTTTGGCCAAAAAAATGCTTTCAAAATTTTTTTTAAAAGCCTCTGATGATCGCACGGTTCAGCTGGGAATCATCAGAGGCTTTTAAAGACATTTTTTCTAAAACCTCTTAGGCCAAAGAGGTTGTAGAAAAAATGCTTTTAAAAGCCTCTGACGATCCCAGCTGAGTTGCCTGATCGTCAGAGGCCTTTAAAAGCATTTTTTTAACAACCTCTTCATCTAAAGAGATTGTAGAAAAAATGGTTTTAAAAGTAAAAAAAAAAAAAGGCCACACCCACTCAGTCACATTATCCCCCACCAAGCCACGCCCACAGAACCGGTAAGTAACAAATTTTACATTTCACCACTGCCTTGGTGTACATTCCAAGATCTGAGCTTCCAGGTTGGTGGTCTCATGGATAGAATAGACATAAATACATTTGATTTGAATTGGAAAAATACATGTGGAGAGGAAAAACTTAAACAAACTAACATGGTTAAAGTCATTTGAAAGTGGATCATAAATCAGGCTTTTTTTCATTTGCAGGAGCCATTTATTGAGGAGATCTCAGCAGAGCTCCAGGGAAGAGGAGATCCATCCAATGATTCTAAAGAGCTTCTTTTCAGGAGGATCCAATTGGGGCCACCTTGCCAGGTAAGTGTAGATTTCTTCTGAAAAGTTTAAACGCCTTCATTCATGAGCTGCTTTGAAAACCAAATGCTGAGTCTGTGTGAATTTGAACCTGGTGTCCCCACAGAATGACCCAGTGAGCCTTACTGATTCAACCTTGAAGATGATCCTAGGAATGCAAACAAAGGACAATTCTCAAAAGTCTTGTACTAGAAATGTAATTTATATGTTGGAACAGTTTAACCTTTATTATTAGCTTTCAAAAACTTGGGGAAAGCAATTAAAAAATTAAAAACATGAAGCGAAACAATACCAATTGAACAAAAACTGCTTCAGAGATAGCCCAATATATCCATTTAAAAATAAATTACAGATGGATAAATTTCTCATATAAAAACCTGTAAGTCAAAGCTGAGAAGCTTTAATGGTCAGACTGTTGGTCAAGTGACTTGATATTTTCAGGATCATGTACAACATTTTGAAATAGGTAAGATAAACAATTCTTAATAGGTATGTCCTGTTTTCTAAGAAATTTGTATTTTACTGGGTTTACTGAGTTAAGCCCAGAGGATTCCTCTAAGCAAAATCTTTTTGGTGAATTCTCCCAGGCCAGGGGAGGGGGGTCCCCAAGCAGTGTCATTCTACAAGTTGGATGCATCTAAGCTATATTTTGTGCCTTTAAAAAAGCAGCATGGAGGAGGTGGAGGGGGGGCTTCTCACCCTTAAGGACTATGTCCGCCTGCAGGATGCTTGTCTGTCCTAGAAGAAAATGTCCATTTTGTCTCTTGCAAAGCTCTTTTCTCTTTTGGAATGAAGAAAGAAAATATTAGGACTGTCATATGGGGAAGATATTTTTTTTGTTTCTAGGATTCTGATCCCTTTGAGGAGGTGGCTGTGGACTTCACAGAGGAGGAGTGGGCACTCCTGGATTCTAGCCAGAAGGCCTTGTGCAGAGAAGTCATGCTGGAGGTTACTAGGAATATGGCTGCTCTGGGTAAGGATCCTCTTTGCTCTGGATTCTGTTGATTTGGAAAAGGTGTTTTGAATGGGAATTAAACAGGGAAGATTCATGCACTCAATTGCATAATTGAGGTGGTGAGAACTCTAATGACTATCACCTGTAAAATCTTTTCTAACCTCAGGAAAATCAGGATCACAATGGATAGTATGTAGATAATGTCCACTGGACACCCACATGTGCAAAAGTTCCATACCCTTCCCTTTGGTTCCCTTTTAACTGCCAGAACCTCTAGATCATAAAGCAGCTGAGTCACTTCATGGGCAATTTTGCCCAAGTTTGTTCTCACAGCCACTCTTCTAGAAAACTACAAGGGCCTTGGCAATGCTATAGTATAGCATTGTGAAAGGCCTTAGATGGAAATGCCTGAGCAGATTGATCTAACAACAAAAAGCCTTAATATGGTTCTGGGCTGAAAAATCTCTTGGATATCATTAAGAATATCATTGATAACAATTTCAACCCAACATCTCCTAGTTTGACAAATTGCTGGTACCAAACCTGATACTCAATTGGGCATATTTTTGAGTGGGAGATACCCCCCTTCGCCATCATTTTAAATTCTAATGAGAATTTGTGGGTTTTTTTTCCCAACCAGGTGATGGTGATGGGCTGGAGAATGAGAAGCAGCTTAAACTACAAAGGGCAGTGTCTTCAAAGAGCCAAAGCGACTTCTGTACAAGACATAATCTGACTCACCATCAGAGGAGCCACTCAAGCGAAAAAACAAATAGTTGTGTGGAGTTTGGAAAGAGAGTCATTGAGAATAGTGATATTATTTGCCATCAAAGGATTGACACAGAGGACAGACCATATGAATGCCTGGAGTGTGGAAAGAGCTTTATTGACAAATGGCACCTTACTTTCCACCTAAGGATGCACATGGCGGAAAGACCGTATAAATGCATGGAGTGTGGAAAAAGCTTTTGTCAGAACTCAGAACTTATTCGTCATAAGAGAATCCACACTGGGGAGAGACCTTATAAATGTATACAATGTGGAAAAGCGTTTACTCAGAAAAGTGGTCTTATTAGTCATGAAAGAATCCATACAGGGGAGAAACCATTTCAATGTACAGAATGTGGAAAGAGTTTTGCTCAGAAAGGACACCTTAAATTGCATGAGAAAATCCACAGGGCAGAGATTGTATAAATGCTTGGAGTGTGGAAAAAGCTTTAACTTGAGCAAAGATCTTATTTGTCATGAAAGGACCCACAGTGGGGAGCGACCATATAAGTGCATGGAACGTGGAAAGCAGTTTACTTGGAAAAATTATCTTATTAATCATGAAAGAGACCATATAAATGCCAAGAATGTGGAAAATGTTTTGCTCAAAGGATTTAGCATTCCTGAGACATGGTTTAGCATTTGTTCACTGAAGGTGGTAATCTTGGGTAAAAGGCCAATTTTCTTACTTTGGCAATGAGATCTCAGGATAAAAGACATCTTAGGTTATGATCAAATTAGGAAGAATGTTGCACACTATTACATTTATTTTTTCCACTGCACTTTCACCTTTGTCTAGAGGCTACTCTGATCTGTGGTTTTGAACTGCTGAAGGCAGAATGTGTGAAGGTGGACATAATTTCCTTTCCACAAATTCCAATAAAAATTCTTTAGTTCACCTTATCCTTTCTGTATATAGTTACACAAATACATCCTTTCTATAATATAACTATTAACAAATTTAATAACAAATATTAAATTTGACTTGGGACTTGAGGTAAGAAAGAATGAAGTATTGGGGCGGGGGTGGCCAACATCGCTGCGGTACGGTGGACTCTTTAGGGGCTCCTAAAGAGTAGTCGATATCCCCGATGTCCGAGGGTCCTTTGTAATCTAAGTTGTCCTGTAGGGACAAATCAACAAGAGGAGCACGTACTGGTCGATCCAGGGAGGCTGCAAACTCCCTGGGAAAACTAGAAGAAGCTCCTCAAATTGGACATGGTGGGAAAGCGGCCAGGAAGTTGCTAAAAAGCTGTGGTCACCATATCAGAAGAGAAAGTAAAGAGCCAGCCTGTGACAGCAAGGTGAGACTGACTTGACTTTATCACTTTGAAAGTTTCTCTTAAAGTGGATGATCAAAAGGGTGGAGAAGAGTGGCTGACAGTGAGAGAGGGTGCGGGTGTGTGCTTGCAACCACATCTGGAAAATTGGGGCGGCAAGGAACGCGTGACTGAGAACCCATTAAAATTTTTTGTTTATTAAACTTACTGGAAAAAAAAGATTTGGAGACTTTAAAAACAATTGGATATTTGGACATTAAAGCTTTGAATGACTGAATGGATTACTTTATTATTTTTTCTTTTTTTGAATGGACTGTTACAATGCTGATTGCCTGCCCTAAAAGATACTTTGTTTAAAGAAGTGAAAGTATTGGAAGAGTTAAGGCGGAAAGTTAACCTGCAGTGCCATCTAGTGACAAAAGAAAATAATAAAAAAAGACATATTTTAAAGAAAGCCTAACAAATACCTGACCTTGACATTTTAACTAAGAAGATAATAGAACAGCTGTGGAGAGTTGAGAGATTAGACTTTAAGCGTGTTTTGGAACTTTTTTTTCATATTGGTCATGTGGAATGTAACTATTATATATTTTATTTTATTTTTTCTGGGTTATTTAGTTTTGCTTCGAGAACTAAAAAAAAAAATCTTTAAGTTTGTCTTTTTACCTTTCACTTTTGTTTCTTTTTTGGTTGGAGATTTTTTTAATGGAATTCAATAGAATTGGTTTCCTTTTTTATTTTTTTTTATTACTTTTCTGTGGATTGAGACTTGAAGAGTCAGAAGAAACTTGCCTTTTCAAATTTTTATTTATTTATTTATTTATTTATTTATTTAGAGTTTCTATTAAACTGATCCTTTTATGGACTCTTGTTTTTTGTTTTGATTTTAAAATTTTATTTTTTCTTTTTAAACAGTTGGATTATAATCTTTTTTTCTCTCCCCCGCCCCCTTCTAGCTTGTTCTTTTTCTCTTTTTTATTTTTTCTTTATATTTTTGAAGGGAAGGGATGATTTGAGACTTTTCTTTTTTTTTTCTATTCCTTTTTTAATTTTATGCCTACCAATTCAATTATTGAATTAGACATTTGGATTAGAATTAAACCATAAGTGGATTAACAATTATTTACATTAAGCTTTTGGAGAAGTGGAAATGAAGAAATTTACACAGCCAGCACCAACTCCCTCAGGGGCAGAAATGGAGAAAACCTCCAAGATGATGGAGTTACATAAATTTATGCAATCACTCCATGATGATATTAAACAGGAACTACAAAAAATGAAAGAAATAATGAGGAAGAACGAGGAGAGAATTCAGAAAGTAGAAGAAAAAGTGGAAATGACAGAGAAAAAAGTTGAAAATTTGGTTTTCGTAGACAAAATCCAAGAAAGGACTATTATTTTGCTGGAAATGGAACGCTCTGAATTTTACTTAAGATTCCAAAATATAGAAATGTAATCCAAAATGTATGGGATACAATGAAAGCATACATTAGAGGACTGGCAATGACATATTTGGGGGAAAAGAACAAAAAGAAATGGCAGAAACAAGTAAGATTGGAAGAAGAATATAAAAGCCTGGAAAAAGAGTTCCAGAAAGATGTTCAAAATAAAAAAACTAAGAAATTGATGGAATTGAAGAAGCATGAAATAATTTTAAATGAACAAAAATCATTAGCAAACCAACTGAGAGCATCAAAACAGAATTTTTTTGAAAATGCAAACAAACCAGGAAGATGGCTAGCTTATAAATTACGAAAAGAGAAAGAGAAAAAAGTTATAAAATATCTACAAGATGAAGAAGGGAAATTACAATATAGAACTGAAGAAAAAAAGAAAGTAATCCAAGAATATTATGAAAAACTCTGTTCACAAGAGAAGATCCCCGAGGAGGAGATACAAAACTATCGGGAAAAATCAATTTAATTAAAATATCAAAAAAATTTAAAGGAATGTTAGATGAAATAACAACAATGATGGAATTAACAGAAGCAATAAAAAGACAAAAGAATGGAAAAGCGGTGGTTCTCCTTCCTCTCCGACCGCTCGCAGTTCGTGTTGACAGGGGGGCAGAGGTCGACTTCGAGGTGCCTCGCATGGGGAGTGCCGCAGGGGTCGGTCCTCTCGCCCCTTCTGTTCAACATTTATGTGAAGCCGCTGGGTGAGATCATCCGTGGTTTTGGGGTGAGAGTCCACCTGTACGCTGATGATACTCAGCTGTACATCTCCACCCCAGACCATCCCAACGATGCCCTTGATGTGATGTCTCGCTGCCTGGAGGCCGTGCGGGTCTGGATGGGGAGAAATAGGCTCAGACTCAACCCCTCCAAGACTGAGTGGCTGTGGTTCCCGGCGTCGCAATATAGTCAGCTGGTGCCATCACTGACTATTGGGGGTGAGTCTTTACCCCCCCCCCCAGAGAGGGCTCGCAATCTGGGCGTCCTTCTGGACGCACGGCTGTCTTTAGAAGAACATATGACGGCCGTGGCCAGGGAGGCTTTTTATCAGGTTCGCCTGATTCGCCAGTTGCAGCCCTTTCTGGATCGCGACGCCTTGCGCACAGTCACTCACGCCCTTGTCACCTCCCGACTGGACTGCTGTAATGCTCTCTACATGGGGCTCCCCTTGAAAAGCACCCGGAGGCTCCAACTGGTCCAGAATGCGCAGGTGGTTATGGGCGCAACTCATTGTGCTCACGTGACACCCCTCCTGCGCGAGCTGCACTGGCTCCCAGTGGTCTTCCGGGTGCGATTCAAGGTGTTGGTTACCACCTTTAAAGCGCTCCATGGCATTGGACCTGGATACCTTCGAGACCGTCTTCTGACACCAGTAGCCTCCCACCGGCCAGTCCGCTCCCACAGAGAGGGTCTCCTCAGGGTGCCATCGGCCAAATTATGTCGGCTGGTGACACCCAGGGGGAGGGCCTTCTCTGTGGGAGCCCCTGCCTTTTGGAATGAACTGCCCCCAGAAATTCGTAAGATCTCTGATCTCCGTGTATTTCACTGTGCCCTCAAAACCTTGTTGTTGCGCTAGGCCGGGCTATCAATGTAAAGATTTTAATTGGTTTTAAATATGGGATTTTAAATTTGGGGGTTTTATAATTGAGCCAATTATTTAATAATTTTAATTATTTTTAAATTGTCTGTCTTTGTGCTTTTAATCAGGCTGTACACCGCCCTGAGTCCTTCGGAAGAAGGGTGGTATAGAAATAAAATTAAAAAAAAAAAAAAGCGCCTGGACCAGATGACCAGATTGAGAATTATGAATGGGAAATATAGTAAAGGGGTAATTTACTTAATAATACATATTATAACAGCAGCAAGAATGATCTTTGTCCAAAATTGGAAAAATAAGGAAATCCCCGAAGATGAAGTGATTAAAAAATTTTTGACATGCACAGAAATGGATAGGTTAATGCTGGAATTGAAAAATAAAGATGAGTCAGAATACTACGAGATATGGAACAAATTTTATCAATGGTTGGAACAGAAAGGAGGGACGAAAAATATGAACTGACCAGAATTCATAGAATGGAGAATTAAGGTTATGTATGTAATTATAATAGAATGAAAGTAGATAAGACAAAGGTATAAGTAATATAGATAGAGGAATGATGTCTTTATATATGTAAATACTAAATAGACCAAATTTATATAAGTTGTAAGCAGGGCTGAAATCCAGCAGGTTCTGACAGGTTCTGGAGAACCGGTAGTGGAAACTTTGAGTAGTTCAGAGAACCGGTAGTGGAAATTTTGAGTAGTTTGGAGAACCAGCAAATACCACCTCTGGCTGGTCAAGAGAATCAGGTGGGAATGGGGATTTTGCAGTATCCTTCCCCTGCCACGCCTACCAAGCCATACCACACCCACAGAACAGGTAATAAAAATATTTGAATTTCACCACTGGTAGTAAGCTATACATCTGATACTTATTTTTTATTTTAGTATGTATGGCAAAGATAATGCCAGGATGGTTACACCGTGTCCAATGTTTTACTATGTGTTTAATAAAATTTTTCAAAAATACCCCAAAAGACAAAAAAACCCCCAAAACGACAATTTGGAGGTGAAGGTGTTTTGTTTGTGAATAGTCTTTTTTTTTTATTAGGCACAAAATCTGCTGGGAGCAATTAAGAAAGACGGGGGCTGCTTTCTGGCTCTAAGAACATATTTCTTCATTTCTCCTTTGGGGAAATACAATATTTTACCTCTTTTAATATTCTCGAAAATATTTCATTCTCTCGAAGTGCGGGGGGGGGGAAGGTTTCTCACAGCAGAAATAGAGACTAAAAACGTAACGGTAGATTGCACTCTGTAGGAAAAGGAGGAATCCTTCCAATATCTCAGGGGTTACCACAAAGAGGAGGAAGTAAAACTATTGTCCAAAGCACCTGAGGGCAGAATGGGTGGAAACTGATCAAGAAGAGAAGCAACTTAGAACTCAGGAGAAATTTCCTGACACTTATGTTGTGGATTAATAAAACCAATACAACTTTTTAGGGTTAGCCAGAGACATTGTATATTGTGCAATAGGTTCAAAGCTTGTACATGAAGCGTTGAACAAAGACAGAAATCGGTTACAATGGTTTTTATACCCTTCTAAGACAAAGGATTCTGTTAACTCAGCAGTTTATGTGATCATATACATTTGTCATTTTTAATTGACACTTCCCAATTACTAAGTTTTACATTTTTCTTTGCCAACAGTCATAATTCTTTTTGCCAATTACTGAAGCATAGATTCAAATTATCTCTTGTTGATATTAAATGTGGTCATCCTTTGATCTGTTTTAACCTTCAAACAAATATCTCTATCTCTGGCAACTGAGGGGCCCCTCTTGTGAATGTTTCTACTTCAAAGGAATTCTCTCCTTTCAACTGGAGATAATTGGCTTCCCTCAAACAAGCACATTTCCTTTCTTACAATACTATGAATAAAGAGGGCCCTTCAGTGATCATCCAGCTGGACCCGCATTTACCTACATTACTTAGAACAATTAAGCAGTGGAATGAATTGCCTTCAAAAGTTGTGAATGCTCCAACACTGGAAATTTATAAGAAGATGTTGGATAACCATTGAAGTAGTGTAGGGTTTCCTACCTGGGCAGGGGGTTGGACTAGAAGACCTCCAAGGTCCCTTCCAACTCTGTTATTCTATTCTATTCTAAAAAAAACAAGGACAGTTCTTGAGTGTCACCACATGAATACAGACGAGACAGGACAAACTGGTTTGGAGGAACCTCCAACAGTTATTGTTTACATATCTATTCAATAATATATGACGTATATAAATAAATTTTCTGGCGGGAAGTAACGAGAAATCCCAGGTGCTCAGAACCAGCAATCAAAGGAGATTCCATTCAAAGGCGCTTTGCTCTATTCCAGCCCTGCTCGACCTTCACCGGCTCTATTCCCTTCACCCGCGGATCCCTTCCCACTCACCTACCAAATACTTCGACACCACGTGACTTCGACCTTTCAGACTCTAGAACAGGGCATGCGCAGAAGACCTTTGCCAGGTCCGGATGTTGAACAGACACAGGAGAGGCGGGACTTGCCTTATGAGACGCTCTAGGCAAGAGCGACAAAGCATGAGGGATTACAGTCTTCTGCCTCTTAGAAGCAATCATATCTCACCGAGTCTGTGGGAGGCCTGTCGAGCACGGGAAGTTTTGGCGGGAGCGACTCGCAACTGCTCTTCTCGGCCTCGGAAGCCCTGAGGGAACGGAGCCCCCCTTCTCCCCACCCCCGAACCCGGGAAAGGGGCGGGGCGACTGGGTGTGGGAGGGTCGGCCGTGACCGAAGGCAACCTCGGAGATAGTTTCCCCCCGTTGGGGCTGCGCTGAAGCCGGAGACGGAATGAAGGCTCGGGGTTTTCCCCTTCAGGCGGGGAGCGGCCTCCCCGAGGGTCCCCGCAGCCCCGAGGCTGAGCGCTGGCGCTTCCGCAGCTGCGGCTCCCGGGAGGCGGAGGGGCCCCGGGCGCTTTGCAGCCGCCTGTACGGGCTGTGCCGGGGGTGGCTGCGGCCCGAGCGGAGCAGCAAAGCCGAGATGCTGGACCTGGTGGTGCTGGAGCAGCTGCTGGCCCTGCTGCCCCCGGAGCTGGCGGGCTGGCTGAAGGAGTGCGCGGTGGAGAGCTGCGCCCAGGCGGTGGCCCTGGCCGAAGGCTGCCTCCTCGGCCCCGCAGCCGCCCCGGAAAAGCTGGCGAAGGGGTGGCAGGTGAGGGAGCTTCATCCTCTACTACGCCTCTGCTCTCTTTTCTTTACAGATAATCACAGAGAAAATAGATCCAGAAAACACATGTTGGGATTATAGATAAGAAACTATGTGGGAATAACCCTTGTAGGACGGTATTCCCACATTCTATTTTCCCACGTAGTTTGTCATGGACTGGACAGCCATCATGCAAAAGATACCTCAATTCCCCCACGGAGCTGGAGGGGAGAAATGTCATGAAAACCCTTCCTAGTAGTCCAGTGAGCACAATGAGAGAACAAAAAATATTTTTTTTAATGTGGTTTTACAGACAGAGCTAATATTCTTTGTCAGGCTTCTTCTCTACCTGGAAGGGCTGGTAAATGTTTCCTCCAGTCAGGATTCCCAAACCAGGGACTCAGACTGATTCCAAGAGGGCTCCTCTATCTAGTAATAGCTATTGCCCAAAATCCCACCCACCCACAAAAACATGTTTCTATCTCAAATTGGATCACTTCTCTAGTCCTTTTAGAAATTTTGATAATTAGCTTTGAACTGAATGTGAATGTAAAGTCTTAAGTGAATTCCCTTTCTCATGTTAACCAAGGCAATGTTGGAAACTTTTATTTGTCCCAAAATTGCTTTTTCAAGAGAAAACTGGACTTTCTGGTTTTTCTTTGAAGATGTTTCACTTCTCTTCAAAGAAATTCCTTGAGCTCTTCAGTAAAATACTTTATAAAATCAGTTTGAATATAATCATCCATTTTTACATTGCCTGGTTTCATAAAATTAGTAGAGATGCAGATCCCCAGACTACATGCTTTTCCCAACTGATGTAAGACTATGATTATTACCTTAACACAAGTCTTGTTTTTCCTGGATTATTCAATATAGAGCTAGAAGGCACTTGGGGGTCTTCTTGTCTAACCCCCTTATTCAGGCAGAAAACAAATAGCTGTCCAGTCTCTCAACATCTTTGTAATGTTACCAACCCGGAATGCAGTATTCCAGGTGTAGCCTTACTAAGGATTTATAAAGGGGTACTAATAGTTCACATAATTTTTATTGTATGCTTCTGTTTATATAACCAAGGATTGTATTAGCTTTTTTAGCTGCTGCCGCACACTGCTAGCTTATATTTAAGTGATCATCCACTAGGACTCTACAGTCCCTGTGACAGTTACTGATTTTTTGAGCCAGGTTTTGCCTAATCTGTACTTGTACCTATGGGTTTTCCTGCCTAAATGTAAAACCTTGCTTTAACTTTAATTTTCTGGATAGGGCCCCATTGTTCAAGTCTGCCAAGATCATTTTCTTTCCTGAACTTATCTTGTGAGTTGGCTCTTCCTGCCAGCTTAATGTTATCTACAAATTTGATGAGTTCCTCTTCTATTCTCTCATCTAAATCATTTATGAAGATATTGAAGAGTACTGGGCCTAAGATGGATCTTTGTTATACCCCACTGTAGACTTTTCACTGCAGACAATTCTAAACAGACTTTCCATTATACATAGGATAAAATTTGAGAAAAATGGTCCCTGAAGAAAAAACAAAGCTTGCAGAGAAAAACAAAATAAGTGTACTTCATTCATATTCCTTTACCATGATCATGGCGCTCCCTCTACCAGATGATAGAAGGAGAGAGCCATTATATAGACATAAATACATTCACAAAGAAAGAAAGGCCATTATTGTCAAGTAAAGGGGAGGAAATAAATAAACAGCTCCTGTTGTGAAGGAAAATAGGAAATAAAAAAGAAGGAACTCACAAAAGTGGCAGGCGTTTATCCAGAAATAACAGCAACCCACAGAGTAGGAGTTCTCAAATTCTCTCATTTTGATTTGAATTGGAAAAATACATGTGGAGAGGAAAAACTTAAGTGAACTAACATGGTTAAAGTCTTTTTTTCAGGTGCAGGAGCCATTCATTGAGGAGATCTCAGCAGAGCTCCAGGGAAGAGGAGATCCATCCAATGATTCTAAAGACCACCTTTTCAGGAGGATCCAACTGGGGCCACCTTGCCAGGTAAGTGTAGATTTCTTTTGAAAAGTTTAAACGCCTTCATTCATGAGCTGCTTTGAAAACCAAATGCTAAGTCTGTGTGAATTTGAACCTGGTGTCCCCACAGAATGACCCAGTGAGCTTTACTGATTCAACCTTGAAGATGATCCTAGGAATGCAAACAAAAGACAATTCTCAAGAGTCTTGTACTAGAAATGTAATTTATATGTTGGAACAGTTTAATCTTTCTTATTATCTTTAAAAAGACTTAGGGAAAGCAGTTAAAAAATTAAAGACATGAAGCGAAACAATACCAATTGAACAAAAACTGCTTCAGAAATAGCCCAATATATCCATTTAAAAATAAATTACCCATGGATAAATTTCTCATATAAAAACCTGTAAATCAAAGCTGAGAAGCTTTAATGGTCAGACTGTTGGTCAAGTGACTTGATATTTTCAGGATCATGTACAACATTTTGAAATAGGTAAGATAAACAATTCTTAATAGGTATGTCCTGTTTTCTAAGAAATTTGGATTTTACTGGGTTTACTGAGTTAAGCCCAGAGGATTCCTCTAAGCAAAATCTTTTTGGTGAATTCTCCCAGGCCAGGGGAGGGGGATCCCTAAGCAGTGCCATTCTACAAGTTGGATGCATCTAAGCTATATTTTGTGCCATTAAAAAAGCAGCGTGGAGGGGGGGGGCTTCTCACCCTTAAGGACTATGTCCGCCTGCAGGATGTTTGTCTGTCCTAGAAGAAAATGTCCATTTTGTCTCTTGCAAAGCTGTCTTTTCTCTTTTGGAATTAAGAAAGAAAATATTAGAGAGGACTGTCATATGGGGAAGATATTTTTTTGTTTCTAGGACTCTGATCCCTTTGAGGAGGTGGCTATTGACTTCACAGAGGAGGAGTGGGCACTGCTGGATTCTAGCCAGAAGGCCTTGTGCAGAGAAGTCATGCTGGAGGTTACTAGGAATATGGCTGCTCTGGGTAAGGATCCTCTTTGCTCTGGATTCTGTTGATTTGGAAAAGGTGTTTTGAATGGGAATTAAACAGGGAAGATTCATGCACTCAATTGCATAATTGAGGTGGTGAGAACTCTAATGACCATCACCTGTAAAATCTTTCCTAACCTTAGGAAAATCAGGATCACAATGGATAGTATGTAGATAATGTCCAGTGGACACTCACAAGTGCAAAAGTCCCATACACTTCCCTTTGGTTTCCTTTTAACTGCCAGAACCTCTAGATCATAAAGCAGCTGAGTGACTTCATGGGCAATTTTGCCCAAGTTTGTCCTCACAGCCACTCTTCTAGAAAACTACAAGGGCCTTGGCAAAAATGCTCACTATAGTATAACATTGTGAAAGGCTTTAGATGGAAATGCCTGAGCAGATTGATCTAACAACAAAAGGCCTTAATATGGTTCTGGGCTGAAAAATCTCTTGGATATCATTAAGAATATCATTGATAACAATTTCAACCCAACATCGCCTAGTTTGACAAATTGCTGGTACCAAACCTGATACTCAAATGGGCATATTTTTGAATGGGAGACACCCCCTTTCACCATCATTTTAAATTCTAATGAGAATTTGTGGGGGGGGGTTTCCCAACCAGGTGATGGTGATGGGCTGGAGAATGAGAAGCAGCTGAGGTTATTTAAACTACAAAGGGCAGTGTCTTCAAAGAGCCAAAGCGACTTCTGTACAAGATACAATCTGACTCACCATCAGAGGATCCACTCAAGCGAAAAAACAAATAGTTGTTTGGAGTTTGGAAAAAGATTCACTGAGAATAGTGATATTACTTGCCGTCAAAGGATTGACACAGAGGACAGACCATATAAATGCCTAGAGTGTGGAAAGAGCTTTATTGACAAATGGCGCCTTACTTTCCACCTAAGGATGCACATGGCGGAAAGACCGTATAAATGCATGGAGTGTGGAAAAAGCTTTTGTCAGAACTCAGAACTTATTCGTCATAAGAGAATCCACACTGGGGAGAGACCTTATAAATGTATACAATGTGGAAAAGCATTTACTTATAAAAGTAGTCTTATTCGTCATGAAAAAATCCATTCAGGGGAGAAACCATTTCAATGTACAGAATGTGGAAAGAGTTTTGCTCAGAAAAGACACCTTAAATGTCATGACAGAATCCACACTGGGGAGAGGCCATATAAATGCATGGAGTGTGGAAAACAATTTACTCGGAAAAATTATCTTATTAATCATGAAAGAGTCCATACGGGGGAGAGAACGTATACCGTATTTTTCGGAGTATAAGACGTACCTTTTTACCCCCCAAAAAGGGGTGAAAATTTAGGTGCGTCTTATACACCAAAGGTAGCCCTGCCCACCCACTGGCCCCCACCCTTTAGCCTGTGCCTTGCAGCAGTTACCTCCTTGCAACCAAACAGCAAGAAAAAACAGCTCCTTTCAGCTTCAGCATAGGTTAATTAGCACAAGTTGATCAGATCGGCCTCCCGACTCAGCTGATTTGCTCTCAGCTGTTTTGCGCAGGGCTCTGCTGCTTGCTGCAAAGAGTGCTGGAGCAGATTTTTTTTCTCTAGCTATACTGAAAAACGAAACTGAAAGTAAAGCAGGCTCTTTGCTGCAACGTGGCAAAATGAAGTAGAGAGAGATTTTTCTTTTTCCTCACCAAAAGTAGGTGCAAACAATGGGAAATTTAGGACAAAAGAGGAGAGTTCAAGATTTTAAAACACAAAAGAAAGAAAAACTATTTAACTAGGGAATTGTAATAATTGAGATACTATTAATTGTATATTGTGTTGAAAGCAGAAATGGTTAAGTTGTCGTTTGGAGGAATATATGGGGAAAATTATTTGGTTTATTGGTAAATATAATTAATTGATTTGTAAGAAATTGGATTGCATGGAAATAATTGGAATATTGATGTTCATATTGATTAATATACAAAAAAGATAGTTATATAACTAATTGATTTATATACAAATGTTGAATTTGTATTAAACAACTGTAATATTACATACTGTAATTAACCAATGTTAGGATGGATATAAAAATAGATGACAATGGAAAGGGGTATAATGTAGTGTAGGAAGAAATATCCTTCTGGGTTCTGCTCCAAGTGGGGAAAAAGACACTGGAAACATGGAGACTGCTTGGAAAGATGGTTTAATGGTGGACAAGATCACATGGCTTGAGTTCCTGAACAGAAAAGGGCGAGATACAGCGAATCCTGGGGTTTTTATGCTCTCTCTGGCTTTGCATTTCCTGGACCCCCGAAAGAGTATCCTGATTGGTTGTCAGACTCCCAGGAGGTGGGGGTCTTAGCTAGCCTTGCTGGCTGATGGTCACATGTGCTTCCCAGGTCACATGCTTTCCAGGTCACATGTGGTGAGTTTCTGCTGCTATTGTGTTGGAGATTATGGTTCATTAACAAAGAGGGGGGAAGGGGGGGGAGGCAGGAAGCTGCTTGTCTTTTAAAACATGTTTCCATTTTTCAACCAGGGAAACATAATATTCTGCCTTTTTAATATTTTCTAAAATACTTCATTCTTCCAGGAGAGGGGTGGGTGCTAACTTCCTACAATAGAATAGAAGGGAAAATTGAAATTGATTAAGTAGAGATGAGAATGAAGTGTAATATTGGTTTTTAAAAAAAATAGATGAGGAATAAATATGGCAAAAAGAAAATATAGAAATTGTAAATTTAATTGAAATGACTGAACACTGTTTAAATTTGTGAACCAGCCAAATACTCTGTTCAAAGAAAATACATTGTATGTTTGTATGTGTGTTTGTCTAAAAAATAAAAAAAAAACTTTTTAAAAAAAAAAACAACCAAAAAATTATACTCCGAAAAATACGGTAAATGCAGAGAATGTGGGAAAAATTTTGCTCAAAGGAGACATAAAGGGGACATAAGGGGACATTAATTCTCATAAAAGGACCCAAACAGAATAGAGACCATATCAAAGCATGTAGTGTGGATAAAGCTTTAACAATCATAAGACATTTACTCACGAAGGAATCCATACCAGGGTGGGGTGGGGGACTATATATTGTATGGAGCTGGTGTAATTTTATTGGGAAAGAACATCTTACTCATGAAAGGATTCACTTGTGCAGGAAACCTGAATGGACAAAGTAGAAAGGCCTCCAAGTAGAAACCCTTATCTGACTCACCAGTAAAGGATCCATATGGGAGAAATCATGTGTAGAAAGGGTAAATTCAGGAAGGACACCATAATCCTCATAAAATAATGCCCATAGAGGAAACTAAATCCATTGAAGGAGATTCTGAACAATACTGTTCCCAAATATTTGAATTCATTTAGAGCAGCTAGGTTTTTCTTTGCCTATTTTCACCTGCATCTCCCGCCCCATGCTGTGGAAACGGGGATGCAAAATAGGAATTAAGCCTTTCGGTTTCCTGCCTTCTGCCCATTGCCATTTCACTTTCTTTTCCAACCAGAAGTGTAATGGCTTCCTTGACTTCCCTCCTAATTTACTTAAACACCAGATAATCAACTTAGATCTCAGTAACGATTGCAGAAGTGGTCGCGACGTTTTTTTCTGCTTAAAGCAGAAGCGCCCTGGATCTCGGAGTTTCACTGGACTTCCTGGGGAGCTCTCACCCTCCAAGCCCCCAAAACTATTTCAGGGGCTTTCGGGGAGCTCTACCCCCATCCGATTACTCTCCTTTCCCTCTTCTCCCGGGGGAAAGGTTTTCCAGCCGCCGGACAGCTGATTTGCGCTGTCAGGGCGACTTTACAAGATCACAGGGCTGGCGCTCCGAGAGAGAGCGTCCAGCAATGTCGGCAGTGCCACTGGAAGTCTAAGATAACCTCTTTTTTGAGTATTTGCCAAGGCAATTATTCCATACAATTTTAGCTTCCCACATATTTTGGAGAAAAACCTCTTTATATTTTTACAGTTTTAGAACCTTACTAATAAACTTTTATGACCTGTAATTCTACAGCCTCCTTTCATGTATTTGTTTTTTATTATCTCTTATTTAAAAAGTTTTTCAAATACAAATTTTTCCCCCTTTTTTCCCCCCTCCTCCCTAACCCCCCATCCCCCTCCCCTCCCCCTGTGACTTCTTCATAATAAAACCCAAGTTCATAACAGATTATATAATACTTTACCATCCCCTTACTCCATCCCCATATGCTGACCCTTTCTTTCTAATAAAATTATCATATCCCCCTTATGCTATACATTTCAAAATGACATTCTACTATAACATTATATAATAATTCTTAATTTAGCATAATAAATCAAATCTTTTATGTATATTAATCTAACATTTCAAAGCAACCTTCCGCTATAAAACTATATAATAAATCCTAATTTAGCATTTATTCAGTTCATAGGCAACCCATTTCCTTCACCCCCATCGTTATATCTCTTAACTCAAATCTTTTACATATAATCATATCTAAACATAATATCCCTTTTCTTAGACTAAACAATCCATAAACTAACCTGTCTCCACCCACTCTACAAGACTACCATACTTAATAATTCTTAATATCTTTATTCTTCTACCCATTCCACTAAAAAATATTCCCTTATATAAATAAAATCCTCTTAAAAAGACTTTAGGCTTGTAATCCATATAATATCTTCTGTAATGTCTTTCATCTGGATTGTGAACTCCATCACCCATGTTAGGGTAACATCACATCCTAATTCCAACAGTATGTTCGGTATCTCCAATTACCATCTACCCCCATCAATAACAAATATCTTCATAAAAAAAAAAAAAAAAACAACCACCCGAGTGACTTTATATTTATATTCCATATAGTGTCTGTAGAGGTGTCTTTTATCCAAATTATTAATTCCAACCACCGTAATAGGGTAACAGCCAGATCATCTGCGTGCCCCAATCCCATAACACTCTTGCCTTGTAGCTCAACATAAACGTAGTATATTTATCAAAAAATCCAAAAAAAGATAATTCCAATCCATTCAGTTTAAGGCCCTTTTCACATCCCAAAAGTACAGCACTGCAGAGATCTGTCACTCTCCTCAGGATAATATAAACCAATACTTTGCCGCTTTTCTTTTCATATATTCAATCATCTCTTAAATAACTGGCATTACACTGTTGTTTAGTTTAAAAGTTTTTGTTTTTGTGAGACCTGCTTCTTCTTTTCTTGACTTTTTGTGAGTTGGATCTCCATCCTGATTTACTTTCTGTAAATTGTATATCAACTATTTGGTTTTCGTGCTGATCTATATCTTGATCTTGTTGGTTTTGCTTTTGTGGCTTAAATCTCCATTCTGGTTCTATAAATTGTATATCAACTGGTTGATTTCCATGCTGGTTTGTGACTTGATAAGTCATTACATTAGAATCCAGAGCCGCCTCTCTTGTATTAAATAATCCAGCTGAGACCTCTGAAAGAGAATCCAAAAGCGGCTCATCTGTAGAGACCTCTGTAACTTGTTTCTTCATTAATTCCACCACCTTCTGCTTATCTTGAATTTCTATCTCTTGTTGATTTTGCTTTTTGAGGACCTTGTAGTAAAATTCTTCCGCTTTTTCAACAGTATTTAGCTGATATCTTTCTCCTTGATATCTCAATATTATACCAACTGGAACATCCCACCTGAATGAAATATTTTGTTTTTTTAGCTCAGTCACCAAAAGTCCAAATTTCTTTCTATCTTTTAACATCTTAGGCGGCAGTTCTTTATATATCCAGATCTTTCTTCCATACAGTTGTGGAGTAGAATTAAAGGATTTTTGCACAATATCATTTCTTATTTCTTTATCTGTGAAGTAAATCACCACATCTCTAGGCAGTTGCCTTTGCTTTGCAATCCAAGAATTTACTCTATAGACCTTGTCAATCCTGCAAAATACCTCCTCAGGATGAACCTTTAAAATCCCAGCCAGAACTTGAGCAGATATTTTTCTTAGATCATCTCTATTATTTTCCTGTAATCCTCTCATTCTGATCGCAAATTCTGTGAGCCTGTATTGCATCATTACCATTTCTTTTTCAATCCCTTGCTTTATATCTTCTGCATTGTAAGTCTCGTGACCAGCTTCCTTTTTAGACTTTACTTCTAAACTATTGTCTTGAATATTTATCAAATCATTTTCAATTCTTTGTATTTTGTTGTCCAAATTATAAATCTTATCATCAACTTCCTCCATTTTAGACTCTAATAATTTGATATTTGTATACATCTTTATAACAACTTCTGAAAAAGCATTAGTCACTGTTACAATCTTTCGTTGCAGATTATCATACTTTAGTTGTATCATTTCTTTAATTTCCTGCCTTAATTTTTCAAATTTCTGGTTCACAGTCTCATGATATTTTGCCATTTCCTCCTGAAGAAATTCTTTTAAATTAAAACCACTCTGCTGAGTCTGTAAGCTCAGAACTTGTTCACATAATTGTGAGTGGGGGAGCACCCCCCCACACACTGCTTGTTTGTCAGGCTTAATTAGTTTTAGCGCCATCCTGCCACACAAAAAAGCTCTTTTTTTTTTTAAAGAAAACTTTTCCCCAAACAAGATCAAATACAAATCTCCAAGAAAAAAGAAACTTAAAGTGGATATTTTCCTTCTAGATTCTAGCCGGCACTGTCTATTTCGCTACTGTGTAGCTTATTACGGAAGGACTTTCACTTTCGGCTTTTTTCTCAAGCCTCAGCAGTCGCCATTTTAAACTTATTTTTTCCCTTCAGTTAAAAACGCTAGTAAAATCATTAAAAATGCTTGAGACTTAGGGTCCCAGGTACAAATCTCGCTCTGTTTAATTAAACCATCTGTTATTTTATTAGTTGGTCCAGTCCCGGCGCCTAGCTCTGCAAAAAGGCAGAGTCCTCCTGAAGCTCGGAGCAGCGGCGAGGGAAAATAGGGAGCCCCAATCTGCTCGTCCCCAAGAGTTAAAAAAAAAAACTCTGGGGACTTCACAGAGGGCTCTACCTGCCCTCGCCTGCTCTGACTCACATTTCCATCAGGAAATTGAGTTTTTCGAGCCGCCTTTCAGATGTAAAGGCGGCTCTTTACAAGCAACGGGGCTGGCAGTCACGGAGGACCGTCTGGTGGCGACAGAAGCTAGACCGGAAGTCCCATTTTTCATTATCTCATCCTGCCATCATCAGCTATACTGATCCCTATATTTAAGTCTATGAAGGGGAACAAAACCACACTGAGGTTAATTTCTGTGGTTTTTTTAGGTAGCTCACCCCTTGAAAAAAGATGAACTCAATAAGAATCCCCCCAGCCAGGAAAGACAAACTCAATTTCATTGAGGACCGCATCAGGGTTGTGTTTGATTTTCGGGGACTGGGGTGGGCATGGCCAGCTCGATGTCTCTCTTATTTGGGGTGCCTGTTGGTGCCAGCAAAAACAGATTCCTGAGCTCCATTTTTGGCTGCCATTGCCTTCTGCAACCCTCTGCCTGCGAAAATGGAGCTCGGGAGAGCCGCACACAGCCTTCATGAGTTCCGTTTTCGCTGACAGAAGCACCACAGGCCGGTCCTTCAGTGTTTTCAGGGCAACCCCACGAGCCGGATCCATCCCCCGGGCCTTAGGTTTGTCACCCCTGCCATTGAATTACCCAATTAGTTTCACTCATTCAGTTTTCAAGATTTTTCTGGGAATGCAAATGAAGGGTTGGAAGAATTGAATATTTCTTAATATTTTTAAAAAGTCTTTTGAAAACCAGTTAATAAAAGTTATGAACTGAAACATAATAATTGTATAAGAACTCATTCAGAAATATGCCATATCCTCTTAAAAATAAATCACATGAAGGACAGATTTGATGAATGTATTTTATTTTTCTTTATGTACACTGAGAGCATATGCACCAAAGGCAAATTCCTTGTGTGTCAAATCACACTTGGCCAATAAAGAATTCTGTTCTGTTCTGTGCTTTTAAAACAGCATGGAGGAGGTGAAAGGCGGGCTTCCCACTTTTAAGGACTGTGTGGATCTATGGGGCATATGCTTATCATAGAAGAAAATATTCTATAGTCTTTTGAAAGCTCTGTCTTCTGTTTTGGAAGTAAGAAAGAATACATAACAGAGGATTATCTGCTGGGGAAGATTTTCTCTTTCTCACAGTCTCACCCAGTGATTATGGCCAACAATACAGAGCCCCGTATTTCAGTCCAGCTAGGGGTACAAGCCCACTTTAGGGGGACAATTTTTTTGAAGTACTGCAGCCACTTGAAACCAGATCAACTCTTCAAGGATCAACAAGCCAGGAAGGATCAAGCAGAAAACGTCAAGATTTCAACATAGCAGTGTTGGGAGAAAACATCAATCTGGTTCAGTTCCAAGACGGGAGAGAGGCCCTGGAAATAAAATGGAGGCTAGCTGCTTAGGAAAGAAGGTCTGTTTATTGATGAGCAGATCCACAACATGCAGTTCTGGGACATCTGACCAAATGGCTGAAAGTGTGGATTGATCTTTATAGGTTTCTGGGGTTCCGTGTTCGAAATGCTTCAGTGGGTGGTGCAATGTAGTGAGCCTGGTGTTCTTTTGCTATCCTAATGGTCGTGGGTTAATTCTATTATGTCCTAAAAGGTCACCTCCTGTCCTTAGAATTTGGGTGGGGGAATGCAAATTACCCATCACTCATGAAGGTGAGTGATGCAGTGACCTAGAGGCGGAGTTCTCGCCTTACAATCAGGAGGCTGTGAGTTCGATCCTAAGTAGCAGCAGATATTTCTCTCTCTCGGCACAATGAGTAAATATGTGCTGAGAACTCTGCATTGGTGACAGGAAGGGCATCTGGCCAGTAACCACTCAGCTCCATTCAGATATCCCGACTCTACTCCAATGCAAAGGATTACGGGTCATTAAAAGACGAACAAACAGAAAGAGGAGTCGACCAAGAGAACAAATATACAGAAAGTGAAAAAAATGAAATACTTAGGAATTTATATAACTGCAAGATGCACTTCAATGAAAGAAGATAATTATGGCAAATTAATGAATCACATAAAAGAAGATTTGGAGAGAGGAAGAAATTTGAGGCTCTCTTTAATGGGAAGAATAGCGGCAATCAAGATGAACATTCTACCAAAATTACACTTCTTGTTTCAGAATATTCCTATAAAATTAGATTAAAGGTATTTTGGAAAATTGAATAAAATGATATCGGACTGTATTTGGTAAGGGAAGAAACCAAGGATTAAATTTAAACTTCTGTAAGAAACTAAAGAAAGAGGCGGGTTTGGCGTACCAGATTGGGAGTTCTATCATCAGGCAGCAACATTCACCTGGGTAACAGAATGGATAAATTTAAAAAATAGAAGATTGTTAACGTTAGAGGGCCACAACTTACATCTACGATGACACACATTTTTGTGGTACGGGAAACAAGTAGCACACCAATATTTTCAAAGACATTTTATAAGACAGGCATTATTGGAGACATGGAATAAATTCAAACAGCAGAACTACAAGAAGGTTCCGAGTTGGTTATCCAAATTAGAAGCATTAGTGCACCCAAATCTTATCAATCAAGAAAAATATGTCACCTATAAGGATATAATAAATGAAGAAGGGGATATGAAATCGAGGCAAGAATTAAAAGAACAAGGGGTAGAATTGGAGTGGTGGTCCTATTTACAAATCCAATCACATTACTTGAAAGACATGAAAGAGAGGGGTATTAATAGGGAATCAATGACAATAGATATCTTTTTGGGGACAAATGATAAATTGGTAAAGAAAATTTATAAATTCTTATTGGATTATAAAATGGAGGAAGAGCAGGTCAATGAAACGATGGTGGCATGGGCAATAAATTTTGGGTACAATATGCAATTGGAAAAATGGAACGAATTATGCGGGGGAAAAGGAAGTTAACATTGGCAATACCATATAAAGAAAATTTATATAAAATGTTCTACAGGTGGCACCTTCCGCCAGCGAGATTGGCAAAAATGTTTAGAAATTTATCACCAAAATGTTGGAAATGCAACCATGACTCAAGCACGTACTACCATATGTGGTAGTCATGTAAAAAAGCAAAGGAGTATTGCCGGAAAATTCATTTATGGCTGGTAAAATTAAGTGGAGAAGAAATAGAATATAAACCAGAACTTTTCCTATTGAGAATTATAAATGGGAAATATAGTAAAGGGGTAATTTACTTAATGATACATATTATAACAGCAGCAAGAATGATCTTTGTCCAAAATTGGAAAAATAAGGAAATCCCCGGAGAAGATGAAGTGATTAAAAAAATTTTGACACGCATGGAAATGGATAGATTAACGCTGGAATTGAAAAATAAAGACGAATCAGAATACTACGAGATATGGAACAAATTTTATCAATGGTTGGAACAGAAAGGAGGAACGAAAAATATGAACTGACCAGAATTCATAGAATGGAGAATTAAGGTTATGTATGTAATTATAATAGAATGGAAGTAGATAAGACAAAGGTATAAATAATATAGAGGAATGATGTCTTTATATATGTAAATACTGAATAGACCAAATTTATATAAGTAGTAAGCAGGGGTGAATCCAGCAGGTTCTGACAGGTTCTGGAGAGCCGGTAGCAGAAATTTTCAGTAGTTCAGAGAACCGGCAAATACCATCTCTGGCTGGTCACAGAGTGGGGTGGGAATGGAGATTTTGCAATATCCTTCCCCCAGGAGTGGGGAGGGAATGGGGATTTTGCAGTATCCTTCCCTTGCCATACCCACCAAGCCATACCACACCCACGGAACAGGTAGTAAAAATATTTGAATTTCACCACTGGTAGTAAGCTATATATGATACTTATTTTTTATTTTACTATGTATGGCAAAGATAATGCCAGGACAGTTACACCATGTCCAATGTTTTACTATGTGTTTAATAAAATTTTTCAAAAAACCCCAAAACAACAATTTGGAGGTGAAGGTGTTTTGTTTGTGAATAGTCTTTTTTTTTTATTAGGCACAAAATCTGCTGGGAGCAATTAAGAAAGACGGGGGCTGCTTTCTGGCTCTAAGAACATATTTCTTCATTTCTCCTTTGGGGAAATAAAATATTTTACCTCTTTTAATATTCTCAAAAATATTTCATTCTCTCGAAGTGCGGGGGGGGAAGGTTTCTCACAGCAGAAATAGAGACTAAAAACGTAATGGTAGATTGCACTCTGTAGGAAAAGGAGGAATCCTTCCAATATCTCAGGGGTTGCCACAAAAAAGAGGGAGTGAAACTATTGTCCAAAGCACCTGAGGGCAGAAAAGGTGGAAACTGATCAAGGAGAGAAGCAACTTAGAACTCAGGAGAAATTTCCTGACACTTAGAACAATTAAGCAGTGGAATGAATTGCCTTCAAAAGTTGTGAATGCTCCAACACTGGAAATTTTTAAAATGTTGGATAACCATTGAAGTAGTATAGGGTTTCCTACCTGGGCAGGGGGTTGGACTAGAAGACCTCCAAGGTCCCTTCCAACTCTGTTATTCTATTCTATTCTAAAAAAACAAGGACAGTTCTTGAGTGTCACCACATGAATACAGACAAGAGAGAGAGAGGACAAACTGGTTTGGAGGAACCCCCTACAGTTATTGTTTACATATCTATTTAATAATATATAACGTATTATATAATTATACAGTATATAAATAAATTTTCTGGCGGGAAGTAACGAGAAATCCCAGGGGCTCAGAACCAGCAATCAAAGGAGATTCCATTCAAAGGCGCTTTGCTCTATTCCAGCCCTGCTCGACCTTCACCGGCTCTATTCCCTTCACCCGCGGATCCCCTCCCACTCACCTACCAAATACTTCGACACCACGTGACTTCGACCTTTCAGAGTCGAGAAGAACAGGGCATGCGCAGAAGACCTTTGCCAGGTCCGGATGTTGAACAGAGACAGGAGGGGCGGTACTTGCCTTATGAGATGCTCTAGTCTAGTCAAGAGCAATAAAGCATGAGGGATAATAGACTTGTGCCTCTCTAGGAAGCAATCATATCTCACCGAGTCTGTGGGAGGCCTGTCGAGCGCGGGAAGTTTTGGCGGGAGCGACTCGCAACTGCTCTTCTCGGCCTCAGAAGCCCTGAGGGAACGGAGCCCCCCTTCTCCCCACCCCCGAACCCGGGAAAGGGGCGGGGCGACTGGGTGGGGGAGGGTCGGCCGTGAGCGAAGGCAACCTCTGAGATAGTTTCCCCCCGTCGGGGCTGCGCTGAAGCCGGAGACGGAATGAAGGCTCGGGGTTTTCCCCTTCAGGCGGGGGGGCGGCCTTCCCGAGGAGCCCCGCAGCCCCGAGGCTGAGCGCTGGCGCTTCCGCAGCTGCGTCTCCCGGGAGGCCGAGGGGCCCCGGGCGCTTTGCAGCCGCCTGTACGGGCTGTGCCGGGGGTGGCTGCGGCCCGAGCGGAGCAGCAAAGCCGAGATGCTGGACCTGGTGGTGCTGGAGCAGCTGCTGGCCCTGCTGCCCCCGGAGCTGGCGGGCTGGCTGAGGGAGTGCGGGGCCGAGAGCTGCGCCCAGGCAGTGGCCCTGGCCGAAGGCTGCCTCCTCGGCCCCGCAGCCGCCCCGGAAAAGCTGGCAAAGGGCCGGCAGGTGAGGCTCTTTCATCCTCTTCGACGCCTCTGCTGTCTCTTCTTTACAGATAATCACAGAGAAAATAGATCCAGACAACACGTGTTGGGATTATAGATAAAAAACTATGTGGGAGTAACCCTTGTAGGACGGTATTCCCACATTCTATTTTCCCACATAGTTTGTCATGGACTGGACAGCCATCATGCAAAAGATACCTCAATTTCCCCACGGAGCTGGAGGGGAGAAATGTCATAAAAACCCTTCCTAGTAGTCCAGTGAGTACAATGAGAGAAGGAAAAAGATTTCATTAATGCGGTCTTACAGACAGAGCTAATATTCTTTATCAGGCTTCTTGTCTACCTGGAAGGGCAAATGTTTCCTCCAGTCAGGATTCCCAAACCAGGGACTCAGACTGATTCCAAGAGGGCTCCTTTATCTAGTAATAGCTATTGTTCAAAATCCCACCCACCCACAAAAACATGTTTCTATCTCAAATTGGATCACTTCTCTAGTCCTTTTAGAAATTTTGATCATTAGCTTTGAACTGAATGTGAATGTAAAGTCTTAAGTGAATTCCCTTTCTCATGTTAACCAAGGCAATGTTGGAAACTTTTATTTGTCCCAAAATTGCTTTTTCCAGAGAAAACTGGACTTTCTGGTTTTTCTTTGAAGATGTTTCACTTCTCTTCAAAGAAGCTCCTTCAGCTCTTCAGTAAAATACTTTACAAAATCACAGTTTGAATATAATCATCCATTTTTACATTGCTTGGTTTCAGTAAAATTAGTAGAGATGCAGATCCCAAGACTACATGCTTTTCCCAACTGATGTAAGACTATGATTATCTTAACACAAGTCTTGTATTTCCTGGATTATTCAATATAGAGCTGGAAGGGACTTGAGGATCTTGTCTAACCCTCTTGTTCAGGCAGAAAACCATATATATACCATTTCAGACAAATGTTCCACTCTCAACATCTTTGTAACGTTACCAACCCAGAATGCAGTATTCCAGGTGTAGCCTTACTAAGGATTTATAAAGCGGTACTAATAGTTCATGTAATTTTGATTGTATGCTTCTATTTATACAACCAAGGATTGTATTAGCTTTTTTAGCTGCTGTCACACACTGCTAGCTTATATTTAAGTGATCATCCAGTAGGACTCTACAGTCCCTGTGACAGTTACTGATTTTTTGAGCCAGGTTTTGCCTAATCTGTACTTGTACCTATGGCTTTTCCTGCCTAAGTGTAAAACCTTCCTTTTCTCTACATTAACTTTCATTTTCTGGATAGGGCCCATTGTTCAAGTCTGACAAGATCCTTTTCTTTCCTGAACTTATCTTCTGGGAGTTGGCTATTCCTGCCAGCTTAATGTCATCTACAAATTTGATGAGTTCCCCTTCTATTCCCTCATCTAAATCATTTATGAAGATATTGAAGAGTACTGGGCCTAAGATGGAACTTTGAGATACCCCACTGTAGACTTTTCACTGAAGACAATTCTAAACACTTTCCATTATAGATAGGATAAAGTTTGAAAAAAATGGTCCCTGAAGAAAAAACAAAGCTTGCAGAGAAAAAAAAAAAAGTATACTTTATTCATATTCCTTTACCATGATCATGGCGCTCCCTCTACCAGATGATAGAAGGAGAGAGCCATTATATAGACATAAATACATTCACAAAGAAAGAAAGGCCATTATTGTCAAGTAAAGGGGAGGAAATAAATAAACAGCTCCTGTTGTGAAGGAAAATAGGAAATAAAAAAGAAGGAACTCACAAAAGTGGCAGGCGTTTATCCAGAAATAACAGCAACCCACAGAGTAGGAGTTCTCAAATTCTCTTATTTTGATTTGAATTGGAAAAATACATGTGGAGAGGAAAAACTTAAGTGAACTAACATGGTTAAAGTCATTTGAAAGTGGATCATAAATCAGGCTTTTTTTCAGTTGCAGGAGCCATTCGTTGAGGAGATCTCAGCAGAGCTCCAGGGAAGAGGAGATCCATCCAATGATTCTAAAGAGCTTCTTTTCAGGAGAATCCAATTGGGGCCACCTTGCCAGGTAAGTGTAGATTTCTTCTGAAAAGTTTAAACGCCTTCATTCATGAGCTGCTTTGAAAACCAACTGCTGAGTCTGTGTGAATTTGAACCTGTTGTCCCCACAAAATGACCCAGTGAGCTTTACTGATTCAACCTTGAAGATAATCCTAGGAATGCAAACAAAAGACAATTCTCAAGAGTCTTGTACTAGAAATGTAATTCATATGCTGGAACAGTTTAATCTTTATTATCTTTCAAAAGACTTGGGGAAAGCAGTTAAAAAATTAAAGACATGAAGCGAAACAGTACCAATTGAACAAAAACTGCTTCAGAGAGAGCCCAATATATCCATTTAAAAATAAATTACCCATGGATAAATTTCTCATATAAAAACTTGTAAGTCAAAGCTGAGAAGCTTTAATGGTCAGACTGTTGGTCAAGTGACTTGATATTTTCAGGATCATGCACAACATTTTGAAATAGGTAAGATAAACAATCCTTAATAGGTATGTCCTCTTTTCTAAGAAATTTGTATTTAACTAGGCCAGAGAGTTAAGCCAGAGGATTCCCCTAAGCAAAATCTTTTTGGTGAATTCTCCCAGGCCATGGGAGAGGGATCCCCAAGCAGTGCCATTCTACAAGTTGGATGCATCTAAGCTATATTTTGTGCCTTTAAAAAAGCAGCATGGAGGAGGTGGAGGGGGGGCTTCTCATCCTTAAGGACTACATCCATCTGCAGGGTGTTTGTCCTAGAAGGAAATGTCCATTTTGTCTCTTGCAAAGCTATCTTTTCTCTTTGGGAATTAATAAAGAATGTATTAGAGAGGACTGTCATATGGGGAAGATATTTTTTTTGTTTCTAGGACTCTGATCCCTTTGAGGAGGTGGCTGTGAACTTCACAGAGGAGGAGTGGGCACTGCTGGATTCTAGCCAGAAGGCCTTGTGCAGAGAAGTCATGCTGGAGGTTACTATGAATATGGCTGCTCTGGGTAAGGATCCTCTTTGCTCTGGATTCTGTTGATTAGGAAAGGTGTTTTCAGTGGGAATTAAACAGGGAAGATTCATGCACGCAATTGCATAATTGAGGTGGTGAGAACTCTAATGACTATCACCTGTAAAATCTTTCCTAACCTCAGGAAAATCAGGATCACAATGGATAGTATGTAGATAATGTCCACTGGACACTCACAAGTGCAAAAGTCCCATACACTTCCCTTTGGTTCCCTTTTAACTGCCAGAACCTCTAGATCATAAAGCAGCTGAGTGACTTCATGGGCAATTTTGCCCAAGTTTGTCCTCACAGCCACTGTTCTAGAAAACTACAAGGGCCTTGGCAAAAATGCTCACTATAGTATAACATTGTGAAAGGCTTTAGATGGAAATGCCTGAGCAGATTGATCTAACAACAAAAGGCCTTAATATGGTTCTGGGCTGAAAAATCTCTTGGATATCATTAAGAATATCATTGATAACAATTTCAACCCAACATCGCCTAGTTTGACAAATTGGTGGTACCAAACCTGATACTCAAGTGGGCATATTTTTGAGTGGGAGACACCCACTTTCGCCATCATTTTAAATTCTAATGAAAATTTGTGGGGGGGGTTTTCCCAACCAGGTGATGATGATGGGATGGAGAATGAGAAGCATCTGAGGTTATTTAAACTACAAAGGGCAGTGTCTTCAAGAGCCAAAGCGACTTCTGTACAAGACATAATCTGACTCACCATCAGAGGATCCACTCAAGTGAAAAAACAAATAGTTGTGTGGAGTTTGGAAAGAGATTCACTGAGAATGGTGATATCACTTGCCATCAAAGGATTGACACAGAGGACAGACCATATAAATGCCTGGAGTGTGGACAGAGCTTTATTGACAAATGGCGCCTTACTTTCCACCTAAGGATGCACATGGCGGAAAGACCGTATAAATGCATGGAGTGTGGAAAAAACTTTTGTCAGAACTCAGAACTTATTCGTCATCAGAGAATCCACACTGGGGAGAGACCTTATAAATGTATACAATGTGGAAAAGCGTTTACTCAGAAAAGTGGTCTTACTAGTCATAAAAGAATCCATACAGGGGAGAAACCATTTCAATGTACAGAATGTGGAAAGTGTTTTACTCAGAAAGGAAACCTTAAATTGCATGACAGAATCCACACTGGGGAGAGGCCATATAAATGCATGGAGTGTGGAAAACAATTTACTCAGAAAAATTATCTTATTAATCACGAAAGAGTCCATATGGGGGAGAGAACGTATACCGTATTTTTCGGAGTATAATACGCACCTTTTTACCCCCTAAAAGGGGGTGAAAATTTAGGTGCGTCTTATACATCGAAGGTAGCCCTGCCCACCCATTGGCCCCCACCCTTTACCCTGTGCCTCGCAGCAGTTACCTCCTTGCAAGCAAACATTAAAAAAAACAGCTCCTTTCAGCTTCAGCATAGGTTAATTAGTACAAGTTGATTAGATCGGCCTCCCGACTCAGCTGATTTGCTCTCAGCTGTTTTGCGCAGGGCTCTGCTGCTTGCTGCAAAGAGTGCTGGAGCAGATTTTTTTTCCCCTAGCTATACTGAAAAACGAAACTGAAAGTAAAGCAGGCTCATTTCCTTGATGAGGGTGTGACACATTGTCCAGATGAGGGTTGTATCAGTCGGATCTGACGCTGGCTGAGTCATAATTTTTGACCACTCCCCTTGCTCCTCCCCTTTCAGGCTCAGTTTGGACTCAGTCGGCCTGAGAGAAATATCTCCTGCAGATCTGGCTCTACAGCCCAGGTCTGTTCAATATCACAATATTTGTAAGTTTTTTTGACCACTTATTTTCTATTTTTAAAATTGTTACTTCCCCTTTAAATTTTTCTAAGGTACCGGTCTACCAGGCTATATTTTTTTTCTCCCCCTTTGTAGCCTGCCGGTCTTGTTTGTTGGAGCAACCTGGTTTTCCAGGCTTTGCTTCGCTCCTGGCGGCGGCCATTTTGGAAGCCCCATTTTAAAAGGGAACTTTTTTCCTTTTCCCTCTTTACTTTAGTGGGTTTTTTTCTACTCTATCCCACCAACGATTGTCTAAGGGGGCTTAGACCACAATACCACCAACAAGAGCAATTTCCTGGTTTCTGACTCAGGATCGCTAAATCCGGCTGCCGCCCACGCCGCAGCTATCCCGAAACCGCCGATCAGCTGTAGGGCGGTTATTTGAAGCGCCGCGGCACCTTTGAAGGTGTTTTTTTGCCGCTTTGCCACCAAAGTGGCAAAAAGAGCCTGGGGAGGCTTAAAATCTCGATTTCTCTCCCTTTTACCACCAGTTTGAGGAGAGTGGCAGCTTTATCCTTGCCTCTCCCTGTGGCATTCCAGCCAGCGTTTTTTATCGTGGCTGTAGAGGCGCTGAGGAGGTCCGTTTCTAGGCTTTCCTAGACAGTTACCTCTGGAGCAGAGTTGATCCTGCTCAGTGTGACCTGGCAGCCATCGCGTTTAACGCCAGAGTCGTCGCCATCTTTTTTTCAACCCACGTGGCGAAAGTGAAACTAAATCTTTCTCCAGTCGACATCTTGATCGCAGTGAGTATACTGAAGATGGCGGATCGTTCTTCCCAAGGGGAGGGAAATACTAAGTCCACTGGGAAGAAATCAACTTCCAAACGCAAGCACTCTTCCAAAGCAGGGGAAAAGGATTTAGCAAAGAAGCATAAATCCTCTGAGAAGCAAATTAGCGAGGTTCCTGCAACTGTGCCTGGTGAGGAGGCTTCTCCTCACCCATCTACTCCCCCTCCTCCCATTTCAAATGTTAGCCAGGCTTGGTCAACAAGAACAAACCACCTTACAAGACCCTTTTGCAGTCCAATTATTAACTCCTGCAACTCTTGAATTTGGTGGGCATGTGGCAGTAGTTGCTTCTACAAGAGATTCCCCTATGCCTGTGTTAACTCCTGAAGATCCTTTTAAAAATATACCAGAAGGATTGAGGATTCTGATTGATCAGGCTGTTGCTTCTCAAATGGCAGCTAACATTCATGGTCACCACTCTGGCTCTGTTATTTCAGAGCGTTCTGCCCATATTAGAATTTCCCCTGCAGTCAGCCTTACTGGCTCTCATTCTCCTGGAGCCTCCAGAGTCAGTGAAGCCCTTGTGTTTGAGGAAGAGAGACATTCTGACCTATCAGATGATGAGGGCATAATTCATGATCAACCTGCCCTTACAGGTTTATTTCTCCCTAATAAATTCAAGTCCTTATTGCATAAGGCTTGCTTAACAGCCGCCTTAAAGGAAGATGAATATTTTAAAGAAATTCAGGAGGCCCATCAGGGTGGATTACAGGGGCTTTTTTCTGAGCCCCCCCCATCTCTGTTATGTACCAACTCCACAGCTGTTCATAGACGTAAAAAAACAGTGGGCTGGACCTGCAACCATGGCATCCGCACATGGTTCAGATAAGAAATATGCTGTTGCTCCAAAGTTTGCTCAACTCTTACAGGTTCCCCCCAGTGGACAGCCCTGTAGCAGCCCTTTCCTCTTCTTCATATGTAGCAGGGGATACCTCTGAAGGTCTAAGGCCAGAAGACAAAAAAATTGGAATTTCTTTTTAAAAAGAACCATCAGGCTTCAGCTTGGGCAATTCAATCAGCATCATCAGCATCATTTTTTAACAGAACTACCATCCTTTGGCTTCAACAGCTACAGGCAAGGGTACCCCCAGTGAGGTTCGCCTCCATCAGGATATTAATAAAATCATTGCTGCCACCCAATTTTCAGCTGATGCAACCTTGAATTCAGCCAAATTTGCATCCAGAGCTTTAGCCTCTACAGTTTCAGCCCGCAGAATGCTCTGGCTTTGCCAGTGGCCTGCTGACCTTAAGGCCAAATGGCGCTTAGCTGCAGCTCCATATTCTGCAGAAAAATTATTTGGCGAACCACTTGATCCTCTTCTTGTAGAAACCCGAGACAAGCGAAAGATTTTGCCTTCATCATCCAAACGGGCTGAAAGAAGGTCCTCTCCATTTTACAGGAGACCTTCCTTTCGTTCCTACTCCCAAGGAAGTCTCTCCAGGCAGGAATACCTTCAGGGATCCTATAGATCTTCGGACCGTCAATACTTTCGGGACAGGAACAGGCAATTCCAGCCCAAGTGGTCTTTTCGGGGCTCTGGCTACCGCCAGTCCCGCAGTCATAAGTGACTCACCGCCAAATCCTCCAATAGAGGGTCGCCTGTCCCTCTTTGTGGACAGGTGGGAAAGGTCAACATCAGACCTCTGGGTCCTTTCAGTAGTGAAATTCGGTCTCCCCCTGAAATTCCTCTCCAAACCTCCAACCCGCTTTTTTCAATGCCCACCTTCCAAAAGCGAATCCAGACGTCAATTAATGAACCAGGCTGTTCAGCACCTCCTGCAGATACACGATCAATGGAAACAAGGATATTACTCCATCCTGTTCGTAGCCCCGAAGTGGTCGGGAGGGGTGGAGAGCCATTCTGGACTTAAAAAATCTCAACTCACACATAGTGTATCGCAGATTCAAAATATGTTCACTAACCTCTATTCTTCAAGGGATTCGTCCCAATGATTTTCTAGTTTCCATAGACCTCATGGAGGCTTACCTTCACATTCCCATCCTGCCAAAGCATCAACAGTATTTCCGATTCAGCTATGCAGGAAAGCATTTCCAATACCGGGCTCTTCCCTTCGGGCTGGCATCTGCACCAAGAGTATTCACAAAGGTCCTGGCGGTCGTGGCAGCTCACCTGAGACAAAAACTGGTAAGGCTCCAGGCTTACCTGGACGATATTCTAATTCAGGCTCATTCTTAGGAACAAGTCTTACACGACTTGAACCTCACGATCTGAACCTTGAACGATCATGGGTTCCTGGTCAACTACAAAAAGAGTCAGTTAGTGCCAGTCACCAGGATCACCCATCTTGGCGCCATCATAGACGCAAGTCAAGGGACCGTCTCACCATGTTGACAGTCAAAGTTCCACTCTCAGTCAGGCGATCGCTATATTGGTGGACATCGCCTTCAATAGACAAGGGGTGTCTCTTCATGAATCACGACCGACTTGTACTCACTACAGACGCCAGCCTTCATGGATGGGGGGCTCATCTCGCATCGCACGTAGCTCAGGGCTGTTGGTCTGCCTCCGATCTCACCAATCCTATCAACTGGCTGGAGCTGAAGGCCATCCGTCTCGCTCTCACACAATTTCAACGGTCTGTGCAAAACCGCCATGTTCTGGTTTTGACAGACAATATGGGGGCGAAGGCACATGTCAACCATCAGGGGGGTACCCACTCGAAGTGTCTCATGGAGGAATCATTTCGCCTAGGCAAGTGGGCAGAGCAACATCTCCTCTCCATCAGAGTGGACCACATAGCAGGGACGGAGAACAAGGAGATTTCCTCAGCAGGACCGAGGTGGACAACAGCGAATGGCAGATCCATCCCGACATATTCCAACAGATGTGCAACAGGTTTGGCATTCCAGCCATAGATCTCTTCGCCACGAACCTGAACACCCAGCTTCCTCGCTTCTTCTCGAGGTTCCCGACGCCGGGGGAGGAAGGGGTCAACGCTCTTTGTCTCACCTGGCTGCCGGGGCTCCACTACGCCTTCCCACCGCTGCCTCTGATTCCGGCTCTGATTCGGAAGGTCATCACCGACAGGGCAGAAATTATCCTTGTGGTTCCACGCTGTCCGTGGTTCACAGACCTAGTTGGTCTCTCCACATCTCACCCTTGGAGGATTCCACCAGACAAGATTGTGCTGCGTCAGGGAACCCTTCTTCATCTGGACCCTCAGTGGCTCCAACTGACTGCATGGCACTTGAAGGGGCCCGGCTAAGGTGGGACAATTATTCGGATAGGGTGATTCACATTGTTCAAGCCTGCAGACGTAGATCCACAGTCAGATTCTACAGTATCACCTGGCTCGCCTTTTATAGGTGGTGTCGATCCCGTCAGGTAGATCCTGTTTCAGCCTCGCCTTCCCAGATCCTGGAGTTTCTCCGAGATGGGTTTGACTGTGGCCTGGCTCATAGCACCCTTTGGAGACATGTGGCGGCTCTGTCTACGGCCTTGTCCAGTCCATCTGGACAACCACTCACTCAGCACCCTGTGATAAAAAAGTTCCTACAAGGAGCCAGGCTCTTATGGCCCTCCTCAATCCATAGATATCCTACTTGGGATTTGCCCAAGGTCCTTAATGCATTAACTGAGGCTCCCTTTGAGCCCCTCTGCACAATCCACCTTCGTTTCCTCACCCTTAAGGTAGCCTTCCTCATAGCCATAACTTCAGGCCGTCGCATTTCGGAGCTGGCAGCCCTCTCAGTTAGGGAGGATCTCTGTGTCTACCGGCCGGACACAATTAATTTGAGATTGGACCCCTCATTTATTCCTAAAGTTAATTCCCTTTTTCACAGGGCCCAGGAGGTTATTCTCCCCAATTTCTGTCCACAGCCTTCTCATACTTTGGAGCGAAGGTGGCATACCTTAGATGTGCGGAGGGCTCTAAAAATTTATATCAAAAGGACTGCTCCTTTCAGAAAATCCGAGGCCTTATTTGTTTCCTTCTTACCAAGTTCTCTGGGACTCAAGGTCTCTTCTGCTACGATTGGTCACTGGGTCAGGGCCTGCATCGCCTCGGCATATCAGGCCCAGGCGATCCCTGTTCCCAGTCGCATTACTGCCCACTCCACTCGGAGTGCTGCTACTTCAGCAGCTTGGGCGACCCAGGCCTCCCTTGAGGAGGTCTGTAGGGCGGCCACCTGGTCTACCCCCTCACCATTCATACGTCACTACAAGATAGATGTTTTTGCTTCTGTCGAAGCGTCATTTGGCAGGAGGGTTTTGCAGCAGGTGCATCATGCAGGGGTCTCTCCAGGCCCTTCGACATCCCGCCCTTGAGACTGCCAAAACTTTGTTATGTCCCTCATCTGGACAATGTCACACCCTCATCAAGGAAATTGGGCATTGGTCTTACCTTAAATACCAGATTTCTTGATTAGGGGTGACATTGTCCAGCCCCTCCCTCTGTCTCAGTGCTTGTACAGTTTATTGTTCTTGTTTAAGAGGTTTTTCCAGTTGTCCTGTTGGACCAGTTTTTTATTCCTGACAATGATGGTTCCTGTTGGAGATCCTTCTTGTGGCCTTCCTTCGTCGAAACTGAGCCTGAAAGGGGAGGAGCAAGGGGAGTGGTCAAAAATTATGACTCAGCCAGTGTCAGATCTGACTGATACAACCCTCATCTGGATAATGTCACCCCTAATCAAGAAATCTGGCATTTAAAGTAAGACCAATGCCCATTTGCTGCAATGTGGCAAAATGAAGCAGAGAGAGATTTTTCTTTTTCCTCACCAAAAAAGGTAGGTGTAAACAATGGGAAATTTAGGACAAAAGAGGAGAGTTCGAGATTTTAAAACACAAAAGAAAAAAAGCTCTATTTAACTAGGGAATTATAATAATTGAGATACTATTAATTGTATATTGTGTTGAAAGTAGAAATGGTTAAGTTGTGGTTTGGAGGAATATATGGGGAAAATATTTGGTTTATTATTATTGGTAAATATAATTAATTGATTTGTAAGAAATTGGATTGCATGGAAATAATTGGAATATTCATGTTCATATTGATTAATATACCAAAAAGATAGTTATATAACTAATTGATTTATATACAAATGTTGAATTTGTTTTAACAATTGTAATATTAAATAATTAACCAATGTGAGGATGGATATAAAAATAGATGACAATGGGAAGGGGTATAATGTAGTGTAGGAAGAAATATCCTTCTGGGTTCTGCTCCAAGTGGGGAAAAAGACACTGGAAACAAGGAGACTGGAAAGATGGTTTAATGGTGGATAGGATCACATGGCTTGAGTTCCTGAACAGAAAAGGGCGAGATACAGCGAATCCCCGGGTTTTTATTTACTTGCGAGACCGACTTCTGCCACCAATAGTCTCCCACCGGCCAGTCCGCTCACACAGAGAGGGACTCCTCAGGGTGCCGTCGGCCAAGCAATGTCGGCTGGCGACACCCAGGGGGAGAGCCTTCTCTGTGGGAGCTCCTGCCCTTTGGAACGAACTGCCCCCGGAAATATGCAAGATCTCCGACCTCCGTGTGTTTCGCTGTGCCCTTAAGACCCTACTGTTTCGCCAGGCAGGGCTAACTATGTAATTATTTTAAATTGGAAGTTTTAAATTGGGGGTTTTAATCTGGGCCGAAATTGTGTAATATTTTTAATAATTTTAAAATTTGATATTTGTATATTCTTTGTTTTAATATGCTGTTCACCGTCCCGAGTCCTTTGGGAGAGGGGCAGTATAGAAAAAAAAATTATTATTATTATTATTATTATTATTATTATTATTATTATTATTATTATTATTATTATTTATTGGTTAATCTTTAGTGAGATTCACAGCCTTTGAGGCTGGTTAATAGCTCAGCAGCTCGAGTCCTAACCAAGGACCTAGGAACTATTAAGGTATCGTCGGAGGATGTAAGCTGTTCCGAGTAAGGTGGTTTTTTGGAGAGTCAAAATGTTCAAGTCCGGCAAATTTAGAATTTCTAAATAGCGGGGTAGCCCTTTGGGTATTGCTCCAAGGGCTCCAATTACAATCGGGACAACACACGATTTCTTTTTCCACAGTCGCTCAACTTCAATTTGTAAGTCTCAGTACTTTGTGATTTTTTCTTGCTGCTTATCTTCAATTCGTGCATCACCAGGTATTGCAATGTCAATGAACCATACTTTTTTCTTTTCAACTATTGTTATGTCAGGTGTGTTGTGGACCAAGTGCCTGTCAGTCTGAATCCTAAAGTCCCACAAGATCTTGAGTTTCTCATTCTCTAAAACTTTCTCAACCTGATGTTCCCAGTGGTTTTTGCTGTACTCAAATCCAAACTTCTGGCACAATTTCCAGTGAATGATTTTAGCAACAGTCATGGCGTTGTAGGTAGTCAGTTTGTGAAATTTTGCTGCACCCACTGATCAGGTGGTCAACTGTCTCCTCTTTCTCATTGCAGAGGCGGCATTTGCTGTTGGTGGTAACATGTTGAATTTTTGCCTTCATACAGTTTGTGGCTTGTTCTTGAGCTGCCAAAATAAAGCTTTCTGTTTCTTTTTTCAGTACTCCTGATCTTAACCAGTTCCAAGTTAGTTTCTGGTCAGCTTTGCCTTCAATACTTTTCAAGTATTGGCCATGCAGAGCCTTGTGTTTCCAATTTTCAGCTCGCTGATCAATTACTTCTTTCTTATATTCTGCTTTTGTTTTAGTTGTCTTTAAAAGGCCTCCTTTATTTACTTCCTTAATCATTGGTTCTTCACTTTTCTGGATGTAATCATTCAAACTGCATTTTTCTTCTTCCACAGTCTGCTTTACTTGTAGGAGTCCTCGACCACCCTCTGCTCTTGGTAAATATAATCGGTCAACATCACTTTTAGGGTGCAAGGCATGATTCATTGTCATAAGCTTCCTTGTTTTTCTGTCCAAATTGTCTAACTCCATCTGGGTCCAGTCAATTATTCCTGCAGAGTATCTAATCACAGGTATAGCCCAGGTATTTATGGCTTTTATGATGTTTCCTCCACTTAATTTGGACATTAATATCTTATGAATTCGCCGAATGTACTTGGCTGAAGTTAATTCCTTGACTTTATTATGCATTAAGTCAGAGGCTTCTAAAATCCCCAAGTACTTGTAGCCTTCTTCTGATTTTACTGCCTTTATCATTTCTTCATTCTCTAGTTCTATTCCATCCTCTTCTATGATCTTGCCTGCTTTGGTTGCTATTGTTGCACATTTGTCAATTCCAAACTGCATACCAATGTCTTGGCTGAATTCTTTTGTGTTTTCAATTAATAAATTCAGTTCAGCTTTTGTTTTACCAAACAGCTTCAAATCATCCATGTACATCAAGTGCGAGATTTTCAGTCCTTTCTTTGCAAGTTCGTATCCACAGTTCATCTTCTTCAAAATGATTGTCAAGGGTAGCATTGAGAGTATAAAAAGTAGGGGTGAAAGGGAATTGCCCTGGAAAATGCCTCGTTTAATTTCAACTTCACCCAGTTCTTCTTCATTAGCCATAAGTTTTGTTTACCAGAGGTTCATTGAAGATTCCATGAATTTTTGTATGTTGCTGCTGATGCCTAATATTTCCAGGCATTTCTTAATCCAGCTATGGGGAACTGAATCAAATGCTTTCTTATAGTCTATCCAAGCCATGAACAGGTTGGTTCATCTTTTCTTTGAGTTCTTTAGGATTAGCTTGTCGATCAGCAATTGATCTTTGGTTCCTCTTGAGTTTTTGCAGCATCCTTTCTGTTCTACAGGAAGCAAGTTATTTCTTTCCAGGTATCCATAGATTTGGTTTGCAACGATACCAGTAAGAAGCTTGTATGTTGTTGGCAAGCAGGTGATTGGCCTATAGTTTCCAGGGTCCTTTCCTTTTTCTTTATCTTTTTGGATCAAAAATGTCCTTCCAGTTGTCATCCATCCATCATTTTCAGGTGTTTTTAGGATCTGGTTCATCTGGGTTGCCAATCTTTTGTGCAGACTTGTAAGTGCCTTTAACCAGAAGCCATGCAGCTCATCTGGTCCAGGTGCACTCCAGTTCTTCACTTTTCTTGACTGTCTTTGCACCATTGCTTTTGTTATTTTCACGTCTTCCATTTTATGCACTTTAATAGAGTCCTCAACCTGTTTGATCCATTTTGCATTTCTGTTGTGCTTCTTGTTGTTTTCCCACAAATTCTTCCAGAATTTCAGAGCTTTCTCTTTATCAGGCTTTTCATTTGTTGTTACTCCGTTTCCATTTTCTAAATTCTTATAAAACTGGTGCTGATTTGCTCTGAACTGTGAGTTTTCCTTGAACTGAGTTACTCGGTTTTCATACCTTTTAATCTTTTCAGCGATGGCAACAACCCTCTGCTTCAGCTCTTCAATTACTACTGCAATCTCCTTATTCCTTAGATCGTATCTTGCTTCCAGGCTGCTTTTGACCTGCTTGTTCTTTAGCTGACCTTGCCTTAGGTTCTTCAAGTTGCTCAAATCTCCACGTACTTTTTTGATCTTCAATTCTAACCAAATTTTCCACTTAGGTTTCCCCTTCTTGCCTCTTTGGTTCTTTTGTATTTTCAACCCCAGTTCTTTGGTGGTTATGACAGCTGCTGCATACATCAGTTGGTTAGTTTCGGCTAATGTAGTGGTTCGAATAGTTTGCACAGCCTCATTGACCTTTTTTAGTACATTTCTCAATTCTTTCCGGTTCACTTGGTTCAGCTTTGGCAAACGTGTTCTTTCATCATCTTCCATTTGGTGCTTTATTTTTCCAGCTAATTGAGCACTATCTGTTGGTGTTTGTTCTTTAGTGCTTCCTTGTTCTTTATCTTCATCCATTTCAGTATCCTCTTCTTCCCTTTCTTCCTCAATTTGCTTTTGAGTCTGGAAATCATTCTTGATGTTACTCTTCTTTGTTGTTGTACTCAGACCATTAATTGCTTTCTCTTCTATTGCTATTAATTCTTCTGTAGTGAAAAATTTATGGTTTAGGATTACACGTCGTTGGTCCATTAACCTTTGTTCACTGGTGTCACAGTCCGTATGGTTCATCTTCCAAATCTGATACATTCTTTTTTGAAATCCATGTTTTGCTGGCTCAGACTGATAGTAAGCTTTCATAATAGAGGTGTTTTCTTCCCTGGTCCATTATTATTATTATTATTATTATTGGTTAATCTTTAGTGAGATTCACAGCCTTTGAGGCTGGTTAATAGCTCAGCAGCTCGAGTCCTAACCAAGGACCTAGGAACTGTTAAGGTATTGTCGGAGGATGTAAGCTGTTCCGAGTAAGGTGGTTTTTTGTAGAGTCAAAATGTTCAAGTCCAGCAAATTTAGAATTTCTAAATAGCGGGGTAGCCCTTTGGGTATTGCTCCAAGGGCTCCAATTACAATCGGGACAACACGCGATTTCTTTTTCCACAGTCGCTCAACTTCAATTTGCAAATCCCGGTACTTTGTGATTTTTTCTTGCTGCTTAACTTCAATCCATGCATCACCAGGTATTGCAATGTCAATGAACCATACTTTTTTCTTTTCAACTATTGTTATGTCAGGTGTGTTGTGGACCAAGTGCCTGTCAGTCTGAATCCTAAAGTCCCACAAGATCTTGAGTTTCTCATTCTCTAAAACTTTCTCAACCTGATGTTCCCAGTGGTTTTTGCTGTACTCAAATCCAAACTTCTGGCACAATTTCCAGTGAATGATCTTAGCAACACGGTCAATTATTATTATTATTATTATTATTATTATTATTATTATTATTATTATTATTATTATTATTATTATTATTATTCTCTCTCTGGCTTTGCATTTCCTGGGCCCCCCGAAAGAGTATCCTGATTGGTTGTCAGACTCCCAGGAGGTGGGGGTCTTAGCTAGCCTTGCTGGCTGATGGTCACATGAGCTTCTCAGGTCACATGCTTCCCAGGTCACATGTGGTGAGTTTCTGCTGCTATTGTGTTGGAGATTATGGCCCATTAACAAAGGTTGTGGGGGGAGGCAGGAAGCTGCTTGTCTTTTAAAACATATTTCTCCATTTCTCATCCAAGAAAATATAATATTCTGCCTTTTTAATATTTCCTAAAATATTTCATTCTTCCAGGAGAGGGATGGGTGCTAACTTCCTCCAATCCCTACTTTTTTTTTCTTTTTTCAAAACGTGAGTTTTGAAACAAGTTCTTGGCAAAAGATTAAAATTGATCAGGTCAGGGATCCTTAATGGGTGCTTTTAATTATTCTGATGCAAAGGGGAAGGCATTAATAGAGGCAACAGAAAAGGAATCCTTCAGTGGCTTCCAAAAGCTTTCAACCATGAAGGTCTAGCAGCCAGGGGAAAATTTCTGGAAAGAATTTTACAGTATGCAATTTTCCATGCCAATTTCCAATTTCAGATATTACTTTCTGTGAGTTTCCAGTCAGATTTCACGCAAGCACATGTCCCAAAATTTTTCACAGCCATGGTTTTCCTTTAAATTGCAGGCTGCCCATTTCATGGGTTGGTTACTAAACCTGCCTAGCTCTTACTTTAGTGCATCCAGGATTTGTGAATCCAAATTGAGGTTAGCCAGTGTACAATCCAGGCTTTTTTTTTTTTTTTGGTGTTACACACAATGAGCCCTGGGACTTCTACTCTTGAGACCACCAGTGCAATATATCTTTCTTTACTGGGCAACTGGGCAGCATCATTTGTGAGTCACAGTCAGGGCTTGGGTTTGGGATATCACTTTTCTGCTATCTCTTCAAGTGAGGGAATTGCCCGAGGGGGATTGTCCCCTCCCCCATGGAATTAGCAGGGAGATATGACTACTTGGGCTTTTAGTGCCACAGAGCAAAAATCAACCTAGGAGAAGCTTTGTGTGGAGGTAAGTGAAGGGAATAGTTTCAGTCTAATTCTGAATGGTGCGTCTCTGTGTGTGTGCATGTGTATGCAGCTACTCTTATAATACAGGCAATACAAACATTTTGGACATATTTCTCCTCCCCACCAGACAGAAATCTAAGATGTACATAACTTGCTGTGGCAACTACTCCCAAATACAATTCTTACAATAAATTGATTATAAATGAGACAAGAAAGAAAACCTTACAATGAATTTCCACCCTCCCCCATAGTCTCTCCAGACTGTCTTCTGGGGATTGAAAAGAGTCTTTTGGTCTTTATGTGTACATCTCAGGGTCTTTTCTTTCATGTCTGCTGGGTAGCATGCTTGGTGGTAAGGCTGGTCAGTCAGGCTTGGAAAGGTCTGCTCCACTCTGGTTGCTGTGATGACTTTCAGTGGAAGCTGGATTCAAACCCAATTCCTGGTTCAAACAGATGGAGGGTCTCCTCTGGAGGCAGCATCTGGATCCATGTGCTCTGCTTCCACAGGTTGCAGAGTCATTTGTGCGGGGCTGAAAGACATTAGAACAGGGTCCCCTCCCCCCTTTTCATTTTCATTTCATTTCATTTCATTTTATTAAATTTGTATACCGCCCTACTCCCGAAGGACTCAGGGCGGTGAACAGCCATGAAATAAAACATATAAATACAAAATTTAAAATAGAAATAAAACAAGTTAGATAAATTTGGCTGAACCATATTTAAAACCCCAATAATTTAAAACCAAATTTAAAATTCCCATTTAAAAGAGGAGAAGTTTAGGTCAGGCCGGCTTGCTGGAATAGGAACGTCTTCAGTGTGCGACGGAAGGTACGCAGGTCCGGAATCCTCCGTATCTCGGGGGGGAGCTCGTTCCAGATAGTAGGTGCCCCCACAGAGAAGGCTCTCCCCCTGGGGGCCGCCAGTCGACATTGTTTGGCCGACGGCACCCGGAGGAGCCCCTCTCTATGGGAGCGTACTGGTCGGTGGGAGGCT